CATTGCAAAACAATATTGCACGGCCGGCGCATGTCGACGCATGAGTCGTGCTCGGTCAAGCCGTCACCGATAGACCGTGCGACACGCCCTGTTCGGACGGTCGGTTTGGGGCGCCAAGCGGGCAGAAATTGCGTTTGTATGGCCGCAACTTGAGGGCGCCCTGATTGCATGCGGCGGAGAAGTATCACAGCGTCGCCGAACGTGCAAGCGCAACACGGCGCGATTCCAGACGGCGCGGTGCCCGAGACGCGCAGGTCGTTCGGACGCCCACGCGAACCAGCAAAGAAGGTAAGTCACGCTGCCCAGCTTTCTTGCCCGCCCCACTTCAGGGGCTTCTGCAGTCGCTGCCCCCTGTTCGCTTCCAACACCGGATGTGTATTAACTTGACACGTTTTGACTGGTGCCTCCTGGGAGCCTCCCGAGAATCTCCTGGGGACCCCTGGGGCCTGTCCCGGGCGCCCTGCGGCCTCCTGAAGCTCTCTGGGGCCTCCTGGGGCTCCCAGGGTCCCAGAGGGGGATATCTAACATGTGGTCTTCTGGGCCCCCAGGCTGGACCACCTCTTGCGCGGCATCTGGGGGCTCAGAGTTGCGAGAATGTTTGTGCGAAACAGGCTGGGCCACCTTGCCCAGGAGGCCCGGGCGAAGCCTAAAGAGGCCGCAAAACAGCCCCGAGGGGGCCCCACAACGGTCCCAAAACGGCTACCGAGAAGCTGCGAGACTGCCTTCACGACGTCCCCGACAGGCCAACCACGAGATCCAAACCAACACCTATGAGGCCTCTGACCCACCACCCAGGGCACGGTGGCGGGAGCAGTGACAGCACTTGTGCGCAGCATGTTCTGGCGGGAGCCTTCCGGAACGCGCTGCAGGAGGAGGAGGAAGATCAGGAGGAGAGAGAGAGAGAGAGAGAGAGAGAGAGAGAGAGAGAGAAAGAGAGAGAGAGAGAGAGAGAGAGAGAAAGAGAGAGAGAGAGAGAGAGAGAGACAAGAGAGAGAGAGAGAGAGAGAAAAGAGAGAGAGAGAGAGAGAGAGAGAGCTGGAGTGGGAGGAGGAGGGGGACGAGGAGGAAGAAGAGGCCTCCCAGACAGCTCGAAGATAGCCCAAGAGGCTTCCAAGAGGACCCTCGGCGGCCCACGCGGGCCCCAAGGCAGTGCCTGAGGCGCCCAAAACGGCCCGAAAGGATTCCAAGACGGCCCCAAGAGAGGCCCAAAAAGGGAAACGCGAACCGAGCATCCGATGTTTCTACCCCGAGAGGTTCCCTGGAAGTCCCAAGAGGCCCCCAATCGGATCCAAGAGGCCCCCAAGAAGCTCCCGAGAGGGCCGACGAGGTTCCAAGAGATCTCCCAAGGTGGCCCCAAGAGGCACAACTCATTGTTTTTCGATTGGGCTTTGACGGGTTTTAATGTTTTCTGCCTTTTGGCGTCCCGATGCTCCAAGACGGCCCAAGAGGCTTCCAATACCGCTCCAATATAGATAGAGGAAGAGGCCTCCAAGAGGGCCCCAAGACGGCCCGCGAGGGCCCCAAGACGGTGTTTGAGGCGCCCAAGACGGCACGAGAGGGCCCCAAGAGCCCCAAGAGAGGCCCAAGAAAGGGAACGCGACCCAACAGCAGAGCAGTCCCCCCACAAGGCCCACAGGAGGCCGCAACAGGCCCCCAAGTGGTCCGACGAGGACCCCAAAAGCTTCCCGAGGGCCCAAAAGGCCCATAGGAGACGTCCGAGAGGCTTTAAAATAACCCAAGAGTGCCTTCGATGCATCAAAACTGCTTCCAGGAGGCCCCCAGGAGGCTTCCGGATTGCCTCAATCTGGCCGCAGGTGACCTCAAGTCGGGCTCCACGCAGCCAAGACGGCCAATGACGGCTTCAGATTGCAGAACCGATGCCCCCAAGTGACCTTCAGACGCCCCCCCAAAAAGCACCCAAGAGGTGCTTCCAACAGCCAGTTGACGAAACATGCGGAACACCCCAGAAGCTCCTGAGATGCCGTCGCGCGCCTGTGCTTGATAGCGGTGTCCAAGATCGTCCAGCGTCCCCCCGGCCTGGGCTAGAACCTGAGCGCGCGCGAAGCGCGCGCGATGGTTCTAGCCCAGGGGCCCGAAAACAGCTGTCGAACGATTTTGGCGTTCCAGCCTTTTCGGCTGTCCGACGTTCCAAGACGGTTCATTAGTTCCCCAAAAGCGCCCCAAGACGGCCCAAGAGGGCCCCAAGACGACCCCAGAGTCGCACAAGACAGCCCAACAGAGAGAGCCACAAGATGCGCCCAATAGGGGGACCACGACTTTAAAATTCGACCCTCCAGCTTGAAGAGTGCCCCTGGAGGCCCCAAGGAGCCCCCAAGAGGCCCCAGGAGAGGCACCCAGGAGGCCCAAACGAAGCCTAAAGAGGCCACAAGACAGCCCCGAGGAGGCCCCACAACGGTCCCAAAACGGCTACCGAGAAGCTGCGAAACTGCCTTCACGACGTCCCCGACAGGCCAACCACGAGATCCAAACCAACACCCATGAGGCCTCTGACCCACCACCCAGGGCACGGTGGCGGGAGCAGTGACAGCACTTGTGCACAGCATGTTCTGGCGGGAGCCTTCCGGAACACGCTGCAGGAGGAGGAGGAAGATCAGGAGGAGGGAGAAAGCTGGAGTGGGAGGAGGAGGAGGGGGACGAGGAGGAAGAAGAAGCTTCCCAAACAGCTCCAAGATCGCCCAAGAGGCTTCCAAGAGGGCCCTGAGCGGCCTATGGGGGCCCCAAGGCGGTGCCTGAGGCGCCCAAGACGGCCCGAGAAGGCCCCAAGAGGCCCCAATCGGGAAGTCCCAAGAGGCCCCAAAGAAGTCCTCGAGAGGGCCGACGAGGTTCCAAGAGATCTCCCAAGGTGGCCCCAAGAGGCACAACTCATTGTTTTACGATTTGGCTTTGACGGGTTTTAATGGTTTTGCTTGTTGGTATCCCGATGCTCCAAGACGGCCCAAGAGGCTTCCAATACCGCTCCAATATAGAGGAAGAGGCCTCCAAGAGGGCCCCAAGACGGCCCGCGAGGGCCCCAAGACGGTGCTTGAGGCACCCAAGACGGCCCCACAGGGCCCCAAGAGAGGCCCAAGAAGGGGAACGCGACCCAACAGCAGGGCGGTCCCCCCACAAGGTCCACAGGAGGCCGCATGAGGCCCCCAAGTGGTCCGACGAGGACCCCAAAAGCTTCCCGAGGGCCCAAAAGGCCCATAGGAGACGTCCAAGAGGTTTCAAAATCGCCCAAGAGTGCCCTTGATGCGTCAAAACTGCTTCCAGGAGGCCCCTGGGAGGCTTCCTGATTGCCTCAGTCTGGCCGCAGGTGGCCTCAAGTCGGGCTCCGCGCAGCCAAGACGGCCAATGACGGCTTCAGATTGCAGAACCGCTGCCCCCAAGGGACCCTCAGACGCCCCCCCTGGAGGCACCCAAGAGGTGCCTCCAACAGCCAGTTGACGAAGCATGCGAAACACCCCAGAAGCTCCTCAGATGCCGTCGCGCGCTTGTGCTTAATAGCGTTGTCCAAGATCGTCCAGCGTCCCCCCGGCCTGGGCTAGAACCTGAGCGCGCGCGAAGCGTGCGCGATGGTTCTGGTGTGTGCATATATATATATATATACATTATATATATGTATATATATATATACACACATATATATTCTCATACGCACCTCTCCGAGGGAGTAGAGCTCAGAGGCGATTAATGCGCACGCGTCCGCGATTTTTCTGGGCGTTTCGCTCGGGACATCCTCGAAATTCTGAAAATCGGTGGCGCCCCTCACGCAGATCGTGACGTCAGGGTCCAAAAACACAGGGGATTTTCAACATTTTAACATAACACCTTCAAACACACATGGTAATTTCAATGAGTGTGACCCCGATTCTCAGGGAATGGCGGTTTCGCTTGAAACATCTGTCCAACATCGAGCCCCAGACCCCGCCTCGGAGCCTCCTGGGGGCCTCCTGGAACCTCCTGAGGCCTCCTAGGGCTTTCTGAACCTTCTGGCACCCCAGACCCCGCCTCGGAGCCTCCTGGGGGTCTCCTGAAACCTCCTGGGGCCTCCTGGGGCCTCCTGCGGCCTCCTGGAGCCTCTTGGGGCCTCCTGAAGCCTCCTGGGGTCTCCTGGGGCCTCCTGGGGCCGCCTGGGGCTTCCTGGGGCCTCCTGGGGCTTCAGAACTACATGCACACAGAGACACAAATCACGCCCAACACATCACACGCTAGACAAACATAACACACACACACACAACACCTACAACACACAAAAGCACGCACCACACGAAGCATACATCACACACACACACACACACACACACACACGCACACACACACACACACGCACAACACTCACAATCCTGGGGCCTCCTGGGGCCTCCTGGAGCCTCTTCTGGTATCCAAGTCGGGCCTCCTGAGGCTTCCTGGGGGGGTCCTGGTACACACATCGCAAGGTGTGGCAACCCCACTTGCGCTCGAGTGCGACTTCGATGTTGCATGTCACTCCTGCTTCAAACGCCCCTTCAGTTTTTTGTATGAGCCTGGGCACACACGTGCCACTTGTGTATATATATGTAGATACACATGCATACATATATCCACTACCCTTTTCCAGGCCCCTCTTGGTTTCAGGAGATGTGTTTTTTCGCCTCCGTGGTCAAGCCAGGATGCCGTATACGCCGCTCCTGTGCCCAGGGTGCGCCTTCCCAGGGGCAGTGGATCTGTGTCTAGGTCACCCGCGGGGACGCGAAGACAGCGTCGCGCATCGCGGTGCGCGATGCGCGAAGTTAGGCGGCCCAGTGTATAGATATCGTTACCCTGCATCCTCCAGCCACGCACAGAGGGGGGTATGGGGGAGGGGGGAAGATTTCTTAGAAGCACCCCTGCTTCTTAGAAGGCGCTGGCTGTTCTATAGACGTAAGGCCACGGGCCTTCTAAGAAGCAGGCTGCTTCTAAGAAGCCTTGCCCCCTCCCCCTGCCCCCCTCTGCGCGCCGCCAAATCCTCTGCTCCGAAGGTGAGCGGAGGCCCCTTCGCCTGCGTGAACCTGGCCAAGCTGGCGTTCACCCGGGTGGCGCCCGGAGCGGAGCTGCCCGTCTGCGGTTCGCCATTCGAGGCCGTGCTTGGTTTAGCGGAGGGCCGCCTCTCTAGATGTCCAGACGTCCAACGTCTCGAGCAAAGGCAGTGCGTGTTCCCAGAGGTGGAGCATGAGGAGGAGGAGGAGGAGGAGGAGGAGGAATTCTCCGTTCATCTTGGATTGAATGCGCATCGGCGAATAGCACCGAATAGCGTTCGATAGCACCGAACAGCGCCCAGTAGCGCCGAATTTCGCCGAGTAACGTTAAGTGCATGTGAGTGCACGTGCAATGTTAAGTGCATGTTAAGTGCATTAACCGAACGGCGCCCAGTAGCGCCGAATTTCGCCCAGCAGCGACCATTAGCGCCATGTGAGGGAGATGCATAATGCCCGCTTTGAGCAGGATTGGGCGCGCGCCATGGGGACCAACAAGCGCTTCCGTGAGCTGTTTTCTATTGCTAATTTTCTTTGGGAGGCCCTCGTGTCAGTATCGTATAACATATCCCCATCCCCACCAGATCGTTGTATTTCAGTCCGACAATCCCACCACCCCAGTTGGGGGTATGCCTTTCGAAACCCGAAGAGGACATCATATACCCCATCTAGGGGGTAAATCGGCCAGTGGGACCCAGGCCACGCCAGTGGGGATAGGGATCGGACAAACGATGCTCATCGTCGCCACGGCTGGATTCGCTCCGAAGTTCTGGTCAGAACGCCTTCCAGGAGAGGTGCGGGGAGTAGCGGTATCGACATATTCCAGAGGTGTACGCCATTCTTCTGCCCAAACCCAGAAGAGGACATGTGCGGCTTCGGATTTCGTGTGCGTGTGTGTTGTTCCCCGTTTCTCGTCTTGGTGACTGCGTGTAGTTATTGATTCGACCTCTCTCCCCGTGCTTCGTGGGAGCCTCTTGGGCTCATGTTGGGGGGCTTGGGGGCCATCTTGTGGGAGAGGGCTACTGTGATCCTTGCGGGTTCCTCTTATTGGTCCCTCCTTCCGTGTAGGGGATCGAATACAGAAGAGATCCGTAAGGGCTTCGCCCCCTGCCGCCGGCCCCCTCTCTCGGAGAATGGGCCATGGAAGAGCTAAGTCATGAGGCCTTGGCGCTGTCGTGAAGCAGTATCGAAACTTCATGCGAAGCCGAGTCGCAATCAGCAAAACCAACTGATCACAAGAGGGGTTACCACACCTGGCGATTGGTAAGACGTGTATGGTTTAAGGGCTTGGTTACCACACCTTGCGATGAAAGGGCCGAGGGAGTTCTCGCAGTTTGGGTTACCACGCCTTGCGATGGATGTGCGTGATGGGTTCGAATTTCAGAAATGTGGCAAATCCCCTGTGTTTTTGGACCCTGACCCCGCGGATCTGCGTGAGGGGTGGCACCGAATTTCAGAAATGTGGCAAATCCCATGTGTTTTTGGACCCTGACCCCGCGGATCTGCGTGAGGGGTGGCACCGAATTTCAGAAATGTGGCAAATCCCCTGTGTTTTTGGACCCTGACCCCGCGGATCTGCGTGAGGGGTGGCACCGAATTTCAGAAATGTGGCAAATCCCATGTGTTTTTGGACCCTGACCCCGCGGATCTGCGTGAGGGGTGGCACCGAATTTCAGAAATGTGGCAAATCCCATGTGTTTTTGGACCCTGACCCCGCGGATCTGCGTGAGGGGTGGCACCGAATTTCAGAAATGTGGCAAATCCCATATGTTTTTGGACCCTGACCCCGCGGATCTGCGTGAGGGGTGGCACCGAATTTCAGAAATGTGGCAAATCCCGTATGTTTTTGGACCCTGACCCTGACGCGGATCTGCGTGAGGGGTGGCACCGAATTTCAGAAATGTGGCAAATCCCATGTGTTTTTGGACCCTGACCCGCGGATCTGCGTGAGGGGTGGCACCGAATTTCAGAAATGTGGCAAATCCCATTTGTTTTTGGACCCTGACCCCGCGGATCTGCGTGAGGGGTGGCACCGAATTTCAGAAATGTGGCAAATCCCGTGTGTTTTTGGACCCTGACCCCGCGGATCTGCGTGAGGGGTGTCGATTTCGAGCCCCCCTAGCAATTCAGACAACGCGCCCAGGGGACGCTGGAAAATCCTGTTTGGGCCTCCCCCCCCTTCACGCGGTCAATCAACTAGTTACAGTAACCAGCAAGAAGCATAACTGTAACACTGGAAACTAGAAACTACAACTGGTACAGGAAATTGCGAATCACGTGCCTACAGCCTGGTGGCCCCACAAGGGGGCCGGCGGATTCACCCGAGAAAATACATGACATGTTTAGTAGATATGCGAGCATTCTACGCATTCGTCGTAGATTTGATGGGAACTCAAATTTGGTGTTAATCAAATGTGTAGTCGATGCCCTGCTCGATTCTTGGAACCTCTCGGATTTTTTTGTTGTTGTGCTGGGGGCCTCTTGGGCTGCCTTGGTGCCCCCTCGTTGGGCTGCGGGCAGGCCCTACAAGAGGTCTCCCGGGCTGTTGTGGGCCAGTGGTTTGGGGCACCTTTCTCCGTTGGGGGCTTGCAGGCGCCCGAAAGCTCACTCGAAGAACAGAGAACGGAATAAGCATCAACTTTTTGGCGCTCCGCACGGATGTCTTGGATCCGCGCTGGCCGTCCTTGGCGGCGTTTCCGGCGCCGCCCCTGGCGCGCTCCGCGTGCCAGGGGGGGTCCAGGTCAGATCCAAGAAATCAGCGCAGACCTCCAACAATTCATCTAAACAACGGCATAATCTATGCTTTGTGCTTCTTGAGGCCCTCTTGGGGGTCCTATTGAGAATCCTCTTGGGGCCCTCTTTCGGCATCTTGGAACGTCTTGATGCCATGCTGAATACTTTTGAGGACATCTGGGCGTGTGTGTGTGTGTGTGTGTGTCTGTGTGTGTGTGTGCGCATGTGTGTGTGTGTGTGCGCGCCCTTCTTGCGCCGTATTGGAAAGCACATTGCGCCGTATTGGCAAGCACACATTGAGGCTGCATTTGGATGCTGGATGTGGAGGGTCCGGAGACCCTGGGGGTGCATTGGCGAGCTGGCCCCCCGGCGCCCACCAGCTCAAACAGAGTGTTCGACCCCAGGCGAGGGGAGAATGGGAGAGGGGTCGCGGCCAATCGTCCCACGAGGCTTTTCATCCTGGCCTGCGGCAAGCAGGCGTCGGCGGGTGGTGTCTTCCCCGGAGGAGTTTCAGAGTCGCCTGGCCTCCTGGGGCCGTCGTCGGGCCCCAGGGCCGTCGAGGACCGACTCGGCATAGGAAAGTTGGCCCTGGAGAGGGGTCGGGACTCCCGGAAGGGCCCCGCGTTGGAAGGTTCCAAGGCGTCGGAGGTGTGGAATCTGATGCTGGGTCCAGGTTGCCAGTCCTGCAACACACCAGGACGTGCGTTCTGGAGCCAAGGATGTCTTCGGCCAGCTCCCGCTCAGCTGTTCCCTTGTCCGCGAGGCATCGGGAGTCCTCCTGGTCCTGATTGTCCTGGTTCCCCTTCGTCCTCGTCCTCCTGGTCACCTCGCAAATTCTGGAGATTCCTGTCTGGCAAGCCCCCCCATTGGTCCCCGTGGGCCTTCAGAGGCTTCCAGAAGCCTCGCGAAACCTAACAAGGGGCCTAAAGTCAATTTTCTCGATCCTGGATCTTCGGACCTCGCATTTCTGCGGCGACAGCGGGGACGACGACGACCTTCCCGATCATGTTCCTCCTCCTACTCGTCGTCCTCCTCCTTCCACCCGCGGCCCACCCCTTCCTGAGGTTACAACCCATGGGAGGTCGAACTCAGTATCGGCCCCTTGTGCATTCTTGGTCGACTTCTGGCCAAATCTGGTGTAATCCCGCTGGCTCTTGCGAAACTCTTATCGTCCATCCTTCGGTTGACCCCTTGGCTTAAAAAGGCACGGTCTTCCCTTAATCTGGCTTGATATTTTCTGCTCGTCCTCACGAAGACCTCCCATAGTTGTCTCGCAACGCTCCACGAGCATGCCGCAGGCCCTCAGCACGATCATTGTCATTACCCTGGTGGTGGCCGGCTCCGTTCTCGGCGAGGCCAGGCTGGCGTCTAAGCGCCTCCTATTGCACAGTCTTCTTTCACAGGTAATGTCTCTATCCCACCCCCCAGGCTTTTCGACGAAAGCTGAAGCGGCTAAGAAAAGGAGGGGGACTCTGGGATGCACCCCCATGGGGCTATCCGGGCGCACCCCGAATGTCAGTTTGGTCGGGGAACCACCGCACCGCGGATGATGGCAAACGGCATGAATGACGCGGAGGATGAGGAGGAGGAAGAGGAGGAGAAGGAGGACAAAGAGGAGGAGGACGAGGAGGAGGAGGAGGAGAAGGAGGAGGGGGAGGAGGGGGACGAGGAGGAAGAAGAGGAGGAAGAAGAGGAGGAGGAGCAGGGGGAGGAGGAGCATGGGGAGGAGGAGGAGGCGGGGGAGGAAGAGGAGGAGGAGGAGGAGGAGGAGGAGGAGGAGGAGGAGGAGGAGGAGGAGGAGGACTAGGACGAGGACGAGGACGAGGACGAGGACGAAACTTGGCGCCCGCTGCGAGCCCCGCTCTGCGCCTGGCTGGCTTGCCTTGTTGGCCTCGCCGCGGGGCGCCGCGGCGGACGCATGTCGTGCGGGAAGTGAGCCCTGGTGGGTTTCCCCCTTTTGGGTCCCTGGGCCTTTGGCGGGCCTTGAGGCAGCCTGGTTGTGGCGGGAACTCCACCGTTCTGGGCCCGCTTCCTTCCAGGTCCTTTTCCATCGCGGCGACTGGAGCCCCGCTCGATTGCGAAACAGCGAAATAGCGCAGCGGTGGCGGCGTCGACGGCCCCTGCTTCTGTCGTATTTGCCTCCCGCCCCCCCCTGCGTCCCCCAGTACGCGTTGTTTCCGTCACCTTCTCGCTGGCGGCCGGGCGTCGGCGGCAATCACCGGAAAGGAAGGTGTTTTGTAATCGCGCGCGCCCCACGGATTTGTTTATCACAAGCTAACATAATCGAGGATGGGCGCCCCCCTCGTATGTCCCAGGGTTGGGCCACATATTGTCGGTCCATGCGAAAACGCCACGAAACCTGGGACAGGGGTCGACGTGCCCCCTGCTATTCCTCATTGTAGTGGCCTCCGGCCGGTGCCGCCGATCCAGGACGATCCCGCTGTCAGAAGGGAAGTTTTGGCCCCAGCGCGTTTGTTCAAACGTAAGTGGTTTGGAAACAGCTTGGGGGAATTGCGTGGGCTTCTTGAAGGGCCTCGGCGACGCAATTTCGAGGCCTCCTGAGGGGCGTTTTGGATGTGATTGTTGAGCCTCTTGGGGGCCTTTTTTGGGATCGGGGGGCATGCAGGAGGCATCCTGGAGGCCTCCTGGGGGTGTGTAGCAGGTATTTTTAAAGCCTTCGGGATCGGTTTTGGGCGCCTCTGGAGGCCTCTTGAGTGTCACTTGGAGCCTCTCGGGGTTCCCTGGGGACTCCTAGGGCCATTTTGGTGCCTCCTCGGCGCCTCTTGGGCCGTCTTGGGCCCTTCGGGGGCCGCATGTAGCCCTCTTGGGCGCTTCTTGGGCCCGTCTTTGGGCCCGCTTGGGCTGTCTTGGGGGCGTTTTGGTTCCTTCTTGGGCCGACTTGGGGCCCTCTTGAGAGCCTCTGGGCCTGTTTTGGATGTCTCTTGGGTCGTGTTGGACACTGCGAAGGCCGAAGAAGCGAAAATGCCCGAACCATTTCCCCCAAGGAAATGGGACAGATTTCCCCCCTGAGGTTAGGAGGTGTCGGGAGTGTACGTTGGAGGCTTCTGGAGCCGCCTCAGGAACATATTGAGCGTCTTGGACTGAGGTCTCGGCCATTCATGGCCATCTTGGGCCTTCAGGGCGGCCGCTGTTTTTTTGTATTGTCATGAGCCCGCGTTCGAGTTCTCCGAGACGAGTGGCCGACCCAGAATGAACTGGAGCTCCGATTTTGCCACCGAATTTGACTCGGACCCCCCCCCCACTCCCCCCTTACCCAGGCAGAGCCACCCGGGCAACTTGTGACAGGGGTCGACGTGTCCCTTGCTATTCCTTACTGTAGTGGCTTCTGGCCAGTGCCGCCGATCCGGAGGGCTCCGGATTCGGTGACCTTCGCGGCTCTGTGGCTTCCTCCCTCTTCGATTGTTCCGGTCCCCTTCCGTCTCCTCTGGGTGGGTGCCTGGAGCTGTCCTGGGGGGGGGTCCGGGGAGGGTTCCGACGGGAGGTTTTTGGAGGCGGTAGCGGCTAGATCTGAGGGGTTTTTTTTATTCAACAGAATTGCGCTATTCCGCTGCCCCCCCCCCAAAGAGACAGAGAGGGACAAAGCGAGAGAAACAAACCAAAACGACAAATCTTTAAAAACATATTTTCCCATGAAAGACGCGCCCGTAGACAGCTTAAGGGGTTGGGGAGAGCGCGGGGGGCGCTGCTTATTGGGTAGGCCCGCACCCGCGCGGCGGGCGCCGAACACCTCACGGCGCTACGGCGGCACGCCGACGCGCGCGCGGAACGTGCAGGCCTCGCGTTTGGCTGTTGCGCGCCCACGGCGCCTCGCGTCGTGCGCGGGGTATGTTTACCCCCTCCCAGAGGAAAGGCCATGAGGAGGACCGAGACCCAGAACACGCAGAACAAGAGGACCTGAGCGCGGTCTCCCCTTCCCTAACCTCTCACCCAGCCGCCCCACTCGCCCCCCCCCGCGGGCCCCGCGGCGATTCGCGGTGCCTGCGGCGTGGGGGGGAAGGGAGAAACGCTGCTAGGTACGCGTTTTTGTTGTGACAACGAACAAAACTGCGTAGTGCTTTCGCCCACGAAGGACGCAACCCTAGACAGTTTAAGGGGTTGGGGGGAGCGCGGGGGGCGCTGCTCATTGGGTAGACCCGCACCCGCGCGGCGGGCGCGCGACACCTTACTCGCGTCGCCGCGCCCTGCGGGAGTGCGCGGGCGCAGCGACACCCAAGGCATTTGGTGCACCGGCGCGCGAGGGAACACCCAACGCCGCACTCGCGTGAGGTGCCCGAAAATGCCATTCATTTTGCCTTCATCATCGTCGCTGGACGACAGGTCGCCGCGCGCTTCCCTGACGGCACCCGCCTCCAGTTCGTCCTGATCTAAATAGGACAGGAAAGCCGCAGAACGCCAGCCTCCAGTTTGGAGGATGTCTGCCAGCCGCGAACCTCGGACAGCCATGTCCTGCGCGTGACCCCCGCGAAGGTCGTGAGTGCGATACGCCTGATGTTGAGACACCCCGAGCTCTTGCAGGGCTGCGCGCAGCGCCCTTACGACCACGTCGGGGCGGAAATGCGCGAAAGGCTGCGTGGACTCGATATCGGCGCAAAACTTGCCCAACGTGTGCACGGGATACGTTCCATTGCAACGCGCGCGCCCACAGGTCCGCGACATCGTGATCGGCGAAGCGCGATTCTTGCGCCAGAGGAAAGTAAGCGAAATCGAAGTGTCATCAAATCGTAGGCAGGACTTCGGCTCATCCGCCTTCGGTGGATCGCTTGCACGCGACGTAAACCGGAAGAGTTTCGGAAAGTAGGCGCAACAATCAGATATGCGCCGCCAGGGAAAGCATTCGCAGCGCGCGCCCTGGAGGCTGGTGGGCGAGATGCTCCAGCAATCTCGCGAGAAGCGCCTCGCGAATGAACATTGTTGGGCGGGCTTGCCAACGATTGCGCGCCTGCGCTGCTCGAGCAGCGCGCTCGACTGCAGGGTCTGTAAAAGCGTCGACCGATACGCGCAACATGACGCACGCCAAGCTGACGTGCGAGAGATACTTGTCGAACTTCCCTTTGCAGCGAAAGCGCGTGCTCCACAGAGGCAGGCCGTCTGGCGTGTGGGGGATGTTTGCTTCCGCGTCACAGCCGAGCAGTGTCATCGCAACTGTTGCCCAACAGCGCCGCTACAACGGCACGCCGACGCGCGCGCGCGGAGCGTGCAGGCCTCGCGTTTGGCCGTTGCGCGCCCACGGCGCCGCGCGTCGTGCGCGGGGGTGGTATGTTTACCCTCCCCCCACTGGGGAGGAGAGGTCATGTGGAGGATCGAGACGGAGGACGACGAGGTGCCAGGCCCCAGGCCCAGGAAGAAGTGCGAGGGGAATGCTTGGTGCGTTTTCCGCGCGCCAGTTCGGGGTCGAATTCATGGAGGGCGATCGCGGGGCGGGAGGAGAACGGTGACCTTTTTAGGTCCTGGAGGCTCCCTCTGGGGCTCGACAAGGGCTCTTCCAAGGGCCCAATCGTTTTTTTTTGTTCTGCGGCCCTCGCTGCCCCCTACGCCTCGCCTCCCCCCCCAGCGAGGGAAAAGTGCACGGAAAACGCTTGGTGGGTCTGGCGCAATGTGAGTGATTTCTGGCGTTGGTGGGACTGATGTTTTCGAGCCCGGGTGGATTGACTCTGGATCGGAACTTCAGTTCAAAGTTTCGTTCATGGAGCTTGGGAGTCATTTCGTCGGTTCGTGTCGCTGTCACACACGCACATATATATATATATATATATATATATATATATATATATATATATATAATATATATATGTATATGTATTATATATGTATTTATATGCATATACAAATACATATATATATATGTATCAGAGAAGGGGGCCGAACCGTAAGTGATTGTCCTTGGGCGCGTGATTGAACTGCGGTTTTGCGGTGTGGCTTGCTGTTGTTGGTGGTGGTGGTGTTGGTGTCGGTGTTGTTGTTGTTGTTGCTGCTGCAGTTGTTGTTGAACATTATTACTTCTAAAGAATAATTATTGTTGGGACCCCTGGTGCGCGACCCCCCTCCAAAACCTAGGCCGCAGCTACATTTTCATCATTTTTTAGCGAAAGCTTCAGAAAAGTGAATTATTACCGGATCCGGTTGTTTTGTTGTACTCCGTTTTCCCTTGCAAAAAACACTATAAAATGAAAATTCTTGTTCTTACTTGATCAAATTGCAAGAATCCCTTGCAAAAAATAAGGTAAAGTGGACATTCGTGCGCGCAAGACGAAATCCTTCCAAAACCTTAGGTTTCGTAGCGATTTTAACATAAAAACATCAAAAACCCAATGGTTTTTTAAGAAAAAAATGTCAAAATGTTCTTCCGCGCGCTCTTGCGGATTCGTAGGAAAACCAACACTTTTTAAACAATTCTGTCAAACGGGCTTTTGCGAGCAACTTTTTCGAACTTCTGCGACAACGGTTGCGCACCTGCCAGGGCCATCATCCCTGTCAAATAATACCATGCGGGACACATTCGTTTTTTCTTCGCGCGCGCACGCCGAAATCTCCAAAAACCATTGGGTTTTTAAGAATGTTAGCACCGCGCATCATAAAATCACACGAATCGCACCGTAGCTCTCCTCTGGCTCTCTGTCTTGCTCTCTCTCTCTCTCTCTCTCTGTCTCTCTGTCTTGCTCTCTCTCTCTCTCTGTCTTGCTCTCATATCATGCGCAACAAATGCACGATGCGGGGCACATGCGGGGCCCAAACAAGTGATTAACCTCTGCGGGTGTGTACTCCACGCCAGTGTAGTATCCACGATCGTCCGCGCGCCACGAAGTGAAGTGTCCTGACGTCATAGGGCGGGAAGCTGGGTGTGGGTGGTTCCCGAGAGTCGTGTGGATGTTTGGTAGAGCTTGCATTGCCCCCCCACGAAGTGGGGGTATTGGCTGGCGTCGCATGAAAACCCTGGCACTGGGGAGAACACTGAGCGTTCGGGTAAAATGATTGTTGTTGTTGTTGTTGTTGTTGTTGTTGTTGTTGTTGTTGTTGTTGTTGTTGTTGTTGTTGTTAGTTTTGTGGTTTGTTGTTTGTTGGCTTGTGTTTGGTATTTGTTGTCGCCGTCCCCCCCATGACCCGGCCCGCGACCAACCCGCGACCCTCCCACGACCCACTCCGCTACCCGCCCGCGACCCACCCGCGACCCAACCGCGATCCACCCGTGACCCACCCGCGATCTGCTCCGCGACCTGCCCGGCGACCCACCCGCGACCCACCCGCGACTCAACCCGCGACCCGCCCGCGACCCACCCGCGACCCGCCCACATTGCTTTAACGAAGAAGTCGGCGCCTTCGGCGAGCTTGTTATATGATTTGTGCAAAGTTGGCGCCTGCGGCGGGGTTCGTCACGGTTTCGAATATTGCCGATCTTCCCGCCGCCCCCCCATTATTATCCGCATCCGCGGGGTGATACATGTGTATATACATGGTTATAAACCACTTTGTCCAACCGAGCTAGGTTGTTCAGCTGCTGCACCGTGGCCCTCGCAGCCCGCTGGCGTACGCGAGGGGACAGTTCACGATACAGTTGTTACGCTCAGGGAGTGAATGCTTCACGTTTCACGTATCCCCGACCAGCCAATCCAGGGACGATGTTCAGGCAATCGTCGAGGCCATCCTGGAGCATCGGAAGCCCTCTTGGTTGGAACCATGTTGGGCCATTCCAGGTGCCCGGACCGCTTGGCCCCCTTCCCACCCAGACCCAATGGGATGGGGTAGGGGGGGGAAACCGTGAACCACTCCCCCACCAGGAACGGAGGCGTGTGGAAAAGGAAAAGCTCTAGACCATCCCCGCCCAGAGTGCTGGTGGAGTCACCAACCCGCTCCCGCTCCCATGCCAAACGTGCCTGCTCTCGAGCAGCCTGACCGACGGCGGGCCATTCCGCGGGCAGTTTGGTATGGCCTGGCTCCCGTTTGGAAGCGACGGTGGTCAAAAGCGAGATAAGCTCGTCGACTTCTCACACACCACATTCTGCTCGTCTGAGATCCTGGGGTTGCCTCACTGAGCGTGCGCCCCGAGTTCTCCGATGCGGTTCCGCAAGCAGCGTTTTGCATCGAAGGACATCTTTTTGGGGTACTGCGGAATGTTGTTCTGGTTTGTCATCGTTTTCGTTAATTCGACCCTGTCCATTCCTGGGATCGGACGTCCCGAATAATTACTTGCATCATGAGACTCACGAGTGGATATTTCGACCTGATCTGTCTGATGCATTTCTCGAGCTTGGTCCATTCGCTTTTGTGGGCCTCTCGGGGGCCTCTTGGGTGCGTCTTGGGTGCCTCTTTGAAGCCTCTTGAGACCTCTTGAGGACGCCCCGGGCGGGGGTCACTGGGTGCCACTTGGGACCATTACGGCGGGAAAGTCTCGAGATGTCACTTCGGATTGCCTCTCTTGGGCCGTTCGACCGTCTTGGGGCCCTCGTGGGTCCTCTTGGGGCTCTACTGGGCCGTCTCGGGGCCCTTTTGGTGGCCTCATTGGCCGTCTTGCGACTATTTGGGGGGCTCCTTGGGCCGTAGTATACGCTGCCAGGAAGAAAGGACGAGTACGTCGAAAGTACACGTTTTCTGATATCACAAAATGAGGCTTTCTGGTGCTCTCTGGGCCGTCTTGGGGGCCGTCTTGAAGCCATCTTGGACCTTCACGGGGTAACCCTGGGCCGTCTCGGCGCTCTCCAGGGAGCTCCTGGTGTGCGTCGGCGTTGACGAGCTCGTACCCCCCGGGCCACCCCCTCCGGGCCCGCTCCCCCTCTAATCGACGTTTGAAAGGGGGAGGGGGCAGCCCATCATCTCACACGCCTTCTCACCCTCGGCAGGCGGGGGTCGGCGGATTCCATGCTCTGTCAAGCTCCCTCCGCTACCCAGCTGCGCCCTGTTGATGGCAGAGTCTGGCGACCGACACATCCAGACCATCGACCCGCACCCAGGCTCAAAACATTCGTGCTGTGAATCTTGGTCACCGAACTTGCCCAGTTTCAGGGTAGCACTGCGTTCTCGCATTCGGACAAAGGTTGCAAAGTGGTTTGAACCGCTTTTTGTTTATAGCAGCGCGGTTGGCAAGACGCCGCAGTTTTCGGACGGTCTGGCCTGGGTTTGAATTCGCACGTGGAAGGCAAGTTCACATTGCGCTTAGCAGAGCGCTTGCATGAAAGCTCAGCCAGGGCGGGCAATCATCCCCCCCATCACAATCTCAAAGAATCTCACGCATCTAGCCACCAGGCTGCGGCCGCGTCGGCCACGCGGCCCGCAGGGCACCCAGGTTCTCACTGCATATCAAGGGGGCTCCCGCGGTTTCCCCAGGAGGATCTCGGAGGCCCCAAGAGGAATCCAAGGAGGCATCGAATCGAGTTGCAAGGTGCATCTTGACTTTGGAAATTCTCCGGTCGCCTCTCGAGATACTCTTGAAGGCTGAAGGGAGAACCAAGCCCAGGGGGATACGCAAGCCCACCACGGCCCTAACAACACCCATGAGAGTTCAAGAGGTTGACCCGACGTGTGTCAGATGCTCTTGTTGGCGATGCTCGAAGAGTCGGCAAACAGAGTGTTTCGCTGGCACGGTGGCGCATGTAAGCACGCACATGGGTGTACTCTTTGCGAATCGTTTTACGACGCTTGCAATGGAATTCCGAGAACGGACGATGAGATGTGGTGAGGTTCAGATAACATGGACATTTGCACTTGGGGGCCGTTCGTGATACCAGTCAGCTCCTGGGAAGTGGGATTAGGGAAGACAGCTCAGGATCACGGGGGTAGCTTGATGGTCAAGGATGACGGGCCATCGACGATTTCATCTCACGATCAGGGGAGCAGCAATGTTTTTGGTGGGCGCACGCTTTCGGAAGCACGCATCTTTGCTGGCCAAGTGTCCCAGGCAGTTTTGGAACAAGTGTTCGGCACGGTGGAGTCGCAAATGGTGGGGGATTCTTGTCAAAGTGGCTATGTGATGCCATCAGCACGTGTGGCCACATGTCAAGAGGATGAGTTGGCATCCCTAAGAGGGGGCCATCTGATGCCCAGGCAGTCCTCTCGCGCGGCTTGTCCACACTTCTGTCGCTGCGTCCGTTCATCACATTCCTTCCCGATGACCGTTTGCCCAACCGTCATGTAGTCCGTCTCGCCCAGTCTTTTGATGAAGAGCCCAGCGTGCACCAAACCATTGCCCGTAATTCAAGATTATATATATAATAGCAGCCAGCAAGTTGTTGTTCTAGTTTGTTGCCCCAGCTGGGGCGGTCAAACCTTACCCCCTGGGCACCCGCATACGCAAAGAAGACCCCCGGCTCCACTTGCAGACCGAACGAGTCTCCATACTTTGCTTGTCAGAACCGCATGTGCGGTTGGGTTCTATGTTGGTGCGCCGTGTGGCACGTTCTGCTCCCTGTGGCGCCTCCACCCCTATTGTTCCACACCACGAGACACACATACCATGTTACCCGATTCCTTTTTGCCAGAGCCCCAAGTCATCCACCCACAGTGGGACGTCACTCCATTGTGAACCCACATTATTGGCTACGTAGTGGCCGCCAGTTATGTGCCGCATCGCAAGCAGGATCCCCAGGCACCACTGCAGGAGGGGCGACCATGACGCAATACGCCCATCCTGAATACAGGGGCCAGCCACCCTGAAGGCTGAGTGCCCCTCTGCACCAGGCGGCCGCTTTTTTGACGTGCTGAGTAGTCAGCCAGTGTTCTCTTCTCCCCCTTCCCCTGCCCTCCCCCTTTCCCCCCCCCTTCCCCTCCTCGCTCTTCCCCTGGCCCCCCTCCTCTTCCCCTGCCCTCCGTCTGCCCCATCCGCTCCCGCTCCTCCTCATCCCCCTCCCCTTCCTTCGCTTGCGCTCCCTCGTCCTCCCCCGCTCTGAGACCTCATCGCCTCCACTTCGGCCTCTCCCCCCCTTCGCATATGTCGGAGCACCACACGGGAGCACAAGCACCACACTTGTGAGGTCCAAAACCCAGAGCAGGGCGCCCGAAGGGCGTGGAAAGGCCTGTCGAAAAATTCTGGAAAGACCTGGCTCTGAAACCCTCTTAGGTCTCTACGAGGTATCAGGGAATCTTCTGAGAATGCCGAGGCGGATCGCCGCCGTGCTCTCTAGAGGGCCATCCTCAGGGGCGACAGTCGGGGGTAAGGCTTGGGGTTGCGCGTTGACGACCCACAGGTAGTTCCAGCTGGCCTCAGCAGGCCCCCCAAGTAGCCGGGGCGGTCTCAACATTCCAATCTGGGCGCAATTCGGTGCCTTTCCAATTGTCGACGTTTGTTATGTTATGTTCCCCCCTTCTTTGCCAGGACCCCGCCGCGGCGGTGCATGACCAGCTGAGGGCCCTGAAGGAGCTGGTCGGGCTTCTCCGCGTCAGGACGGCGGGGCACCCTCCCGTGAAGTGGTGTCTCCAATTTACTGGCAGGGGGTCGTGTGGGAACCGCTTGTTCCCCATCACCCCCCTCCTCCATTCTACCCCTCCTCCATTTCTCCCCCTCCTCAGCCTGCAGGCTGAGGAGGAGGAGAAATGGCGAATGGAGGAGCCAAGCGCGACGAGGGAGGCCATTGCCTCCCACGTCGCGCTTGGCTCCTCAGCCTGTCCGGGGAGCTCCGGGAGGCCTCGCAGCGAGCAGGCGGGCCGTGCCTCCCGGCAAGGCGCGCAGCGGGCGGCGGCACGGGCGCTGCTCGGGGGCGGCCCCTGGAGCGGGAGGGGGAACAACTCGAAGAGGAACGGGGGCGCGACCGCCAGCGGCGGAGCTGCGGGTGCTGCTGCCATGGGCCGCGGGCTGGCCGACGTTGGGCGGGGCCGTGCTCCTGGCCCACCGTACCTTCAAGCAGTGCCGAGGCGTCCCAGCTTGCCTCTAGGCCTACCAAAAAATGTTCTAAGTCCCTTTTGTGGTCTGCACAGCATTTTCTTAGAACATTTCTGGCTGGGACTGCCTTGTTCTAGTACAACGTTCTAAGAACATTGTATTTGTTCTTAGAACATTTCTGGGTTGTAAGAACATTTTGTGGTAGGCCTGTAGAAATGCCGGGATGGTCGGACCCTTCTCAATACCTTGCACCCTCCTGCGGGTCGGCGCTGGACTCCCAGGCAACGGAGTTTCGAGGCCCCAGCCCCGGCTGGCTCCCCCTTGTGAATGGCCCCTGTCTCAGGCAGGCAGCCACTCCCTGGGGAACCGGCCTGTTTATTGCAGGAGGGAGGAATTCGCCGGCTCCCGATCATGCTGCTCGGGCGGCGGGAGAGGCCCGCGCGCGCACGGTGGAGAGAGAGAGGATGATAAGAAGGAGGAGGGGGGGAGGAGGAGACGAAGGAGAAGGAAAAGGAGGAGGAGGAGGAGGAAAAGGTGGAGGAGGAGGTGGTGGGGGAGGAGGAGGGGGAGGAGGGAGGAGGACAGGAGGAGGGGGGGCAGGAGGAGGATGGCCAGGACCCCCACGAAGTTGCGCCCTGTGCGCGCCGTGTTGCTCTGCTACCTCGACGAGGCCAGGAGGCTCTCCGCCCGCCCAGCCAGCGAGGGTCGGCGGAGGTGAAGGGGGTCAATGCGGGAGAGAGGTCGGGTTCGAGTGGGTTGTGACCTTTCGCCTGGGTCTCAGGGGAAGAGAAACCAGCCGGACCTGACAATTGGCGTTGACTGAGCGGCCCTGGGCGTTTACTACAGCCCTGCCCTCTTCGATTCCTTCAGTGGGCGCGTTTACTAAAGGCCTCGCGTGTCGGGGTGGTTATTATCGGGGTGGATTTTCCGCCCTCTACTTGGGCGCGCGGCATTTCGGGGTGCGGGGAGGGGGCAGGCCGAGGCCGCAGGCAGGGGCGCGTGGACGGCGCGAGATCGGAAGGGAGCGACGGCGGGACCGTGAAGGCTGCGCGCAGACAGCCCCCCAGGTAGCCCCTGCTGGCCTCGAAGGCCCCCCCCTCCCAGTAATCCGAGCGCCAGGCACGGCGGGACTGCTCGATGGCTCCGGCGAGGCCAGCCGTGACGATCCGGGGCGCTTGCTGCGCGCAGCCATCAGCCTCACCGTTGCCGCGGGGTGATGGGCGACAGGACGGGGGGGGGCGGTCGAGGATGTGTTCTGCCTGCCGTCTCTTCCCCTCCCGTTCTCCGCCCGCTCGCAGTTTCCGCCCTCCCGGGGACCGTGCCGAGGCCCCCGGGGTCCGTCAGCACGTGCTCTGGCGGAAAATCGCCCGTCCGAGGGGCAGATTCCCAGGGTCAGGGCCCCGTTTCGTTCTGAAGACCCCTGGGGAGTGGAGTTCAACAACGGCGTTCATCTGTGGTTACTCCTCCTCCTCCTCCTCTTCCTCCTCGTTGACAATCGGCCCAATCCGGCATAATCCCTCTGAGCGCGGCTTCGTCCCTGGCCTATGGTCCGCCGTAGTGCCTTCTGAATCGGGTTAGTAGCACCTGATCGCTTTGAGTCGGGCTTCTGAGCACCTAATCGTTTTGACGAAGACCTTCCAGGAGTTGCCGCCGAGCGTTTCTGTTGTGTGGCCCTGTTGTGTGGCCGCGGTCGTTTCTGTTGGCAGGCCCGCGCGGAGCAAACGGCCACAGTTGAACAAATTTCTCTCTCGTCCCAGCCCGACCTGGAGTGTCGTTCACCATCGGCCGCATTGTCAGACGCGAATAGGCCGGCCATGGCCGAGCTTCTGCTAGGGGAATGTGTGGGCCCCGAGGCTCAGGGGAGGGCGCGCTGGGACACGGTCGTTAGCCTTCGGGGGACCCCCTCGCCGCAGTGGCTGGACGCAGTTGGGAAAGCGCTTGGACCCCAGGAGGGGTCCCGGGACCGATGCGGAGTTGCCGTGATCCCCTTTTCACCCCGTTCCGAGAGACGAAAGTGGACCCAGACACGGTCGGTGGACGAGGAAGGACAAACGTCATCAGAGTGAGGGGGCCGAGCGGTCATGCATTGTCCCTGGGTGCGTGGCTCTAGTGGGGATCCGTGGCGAGGATTCTGTGTGTTGCGTTGTTGTTGTTGTTGTTGTTGTTGTTGTTGTTGTTGTTGTTGTTGTTGTTGTTGAACACTATTCCTTCTTAAGAATTATTATTGTTGGGACCCCTGGTGCGCGACCTCTGCGCCGCGCCTAGGCCGCAGCTACATTTTCATCATTTTTTCGCGAAAGCTTCAGAAAAGTGGATCTCCGGATCCGGTTTTTTGTTGACGCTCGTTTTCCCTTGCAAAAAACAAAAGAAAATGAAAATTCTTGTTCTTAGTTGATCAAATTTCAAGAATCCCTTGCAAAAAATAAGGTAAAGTGGACATTCGCGCGCGCAAGACGAAATCCTTCCAAAACCTTAGGTTTCGTAGCGATTTTAACATAAAAACATCAAAAACCCAATGGTTTTTTAAGAAAAAATTGTCAAAATGTCCTTCCGCGCGCGCTGTCCGAATCCCACAAAACCAATGGTTTTTCAACATTTATGTTACATGAGCTCGCGCGAGCTACTTTTTCTTGTTCTAACATAATCAAATTTCAATAATCCCTTGCAAAAAATAAGGTAAAGTGGACATTCGCGCGCGCAAGACGAAATCCTTCCAGAACCTCAGGTTTCGTAACGATTGCAACATAAAAACATCAAAAACCCAATGGTTTTTCAAAAAAACATGTCCAAATTTCATCCCGCGCGCGCTGTCCGACTCCCACAAAACCAATGGTTTTTCAACATTTATGTTACATGAGCTCGCGCGAGCTACTTTTTCTTGTTTTAACATAATCAAATTTCAATACTCCCTTGCAAAAAAAAGTAAAGTGGACATTCGCGCGCGCAAGACCAACAAAAAACACGACGATCTCAGGAACTTGCCCCAAAAATGTGACCAACTCCGCTCTCTCTGTCTCTCTCTCTGTCTGCTCTCTGTCTCTCTCTCTGTCTGTCTGTGTCATGTATTGTATGTCACAATTGCAGGATGCTGGGCACACGCGCGCCCCGAATAAGTGACCAAGTTCTGTGGGTGTGTACCCCACGCCAGTGTAGTAGCCACGGTCGTCCGCACGCCACGAAGTGAAGTGTCCCAACGTCATAGGGCGGGAAGCTGGGTTTGGGTGGTCGCGAAGAGTCGTTTGGATATTTGGTAGAGCTTGAACTGCCCCCCCACGAAGTGGGGGTATTGTCTCGCGTCGCATGAAAACCCTGGCACTGGTGAGAACACTGAGCGTTCGGGTAAAATGATTGTTGTTGTTGTTGTTGTTGTTGTTGTTGAACATTATTAATTCTAAAGAATAATTATTGTTGGGCCCCCTGGTGCGCGCCCCCCCGCCCGCCTAGGCCGCAGCCACATTTTCATCATTTTCGTGAGGAAGCCTCAGGTAAAACGATGTGATCCAGATCCGGTTGTTTTGTTGTAATCCGCTTTTCCCTTGCAAAAAACACTATAAAATGACATTTCTTGTTCTAATATAATCAAATTTCAAGAATCCCTTGCAAAAAATAAGGTAAAGTGGACATTCGCGCGCGCAAGACGAAATCCTTCCAAAAGCTTAGTGTTCGGAGCGATTTTAACATAAAAACATCAAAAAACCAATGGTTTTTCAACAAAAAAATGTCAAAATCTCATCCCGCGCGCTCTTGCGGATTCGTAGGAAACCCAACACTTTTTAAACATTTCTGTCAAACGGGCTTTTGCGAGCAACTTTTTCGAACTTCTGCGACAACGGTTGCGCACCTGCCAGGGCCATCATCCCTGTCAAATAATACCATGCGGGACACATTCGTCTCTCCGTATTATGTATTGTATGGCACAATTGCACCATGCTGGGCACATGCGCGCCCCGAATAAGTGACCAAGTTCTGTGGGTGTGTACCCCACGCCAGTGTAGTAGCCACGGTCGTCCGCACGCCACGAAGTGAAGTGTCCCAACGTCATAGGGCGGGAAGCTGGGTTTGGGTGGTCGCGAAGAGTCGTTTGGATATTTGGTAGAGCTTGTAATGCCCCCCCACGAAGTGGGGGTATTGCCTGGTGTCGTATGAAAACCCTGGCACTGGGGAGAACACTGACGCGTTCGGGTAAAATGATTGTTGTTGTTGTTGTTGTTGTTTGTTGTTGTTGTTGAACATTATTACTTCTAAAGAATAATTATTGTTGGGACCCCTGGTGCGCGACCCCCCTCCAAAACCTAGGCCGCAGCTACATTTTCATCATTTTTTAGCGAAAGCTTCAGAAAAGTGAATTATTACCGGATCCGGTTGTTTTGTTGTACTCCGTTTTCCCTTGCAAAAAACACTATAAAATGAAAATTCTTGTTCTTACTTGATCAAATTGCAAGAATCCTTGCAAAAAATAAGGTAAAGTGGACATTCGTGCGCGCAAGACGAAATCCTTCCAAAACCTTAGGTTTCGTAACGATTTTAACATAAAAACATCAAAAACCCAATGGTTTTTTAAGAAAAAATTGTCAAAATGTTCTTCCGCGCGCTCTTGCGGATTCGTAGGAAAACCAACACTTTTTAAACAATTCTGTCAAACGGGCTTTTGCGAGCAACTTTTTCGAACTTCTGCGACAACGTTTGCGCACCTGCCAGGGCCATCATCCCTGTCAAATAATACCATGCGGGACACATTCGTTTTTTCTTCGCGCGCGCACGCCGAAATCTCCAAAAATCATTGGGTTTTTAAGAATTTTAGCACCGCGCATCATAAAATCACACGAATCGCACCGTAGCTCTCCTCTGGCTCTCTGTCTTGCTCTCTCTCTCTCTCTCTCTCTCTGTCTCTCTGTCTTGCTCTCTCTCTCTCTCTGTCTTGCTCTCATATCATGCGCAACAAATGCACGATGCGGGGCACATGCGGGGCCCAAACAAGTGATTAACCTCTGCGGGTGTGTACTCCACGCCAGTGTAGTATCCACGATCGTCCGCGCGCCACGAAGTGAAGTGTCCTGACGTCATAGGGCGGGAAGCTGGGTGTGGGTGGTTCCCGAGAGTCGTGTGGATGTTTGGTAGAGCTTGCATTGCCCCCCCACGAAGTGGGGGTATTGGCTGGCGTCGCATGAAAACCCTGGCACTGGGGAGAACACTGAGCGTTCGGGTAAAATGATTGTTGTTGTTGTTGTTGTTGTTGTTGAACATTATTAATTCTAAAGAATAATTATTGTTGGGCCCCTGGTGCGCGCCCCCCCCGCCGCGCCTAGGCCGCAGCTACATTTTCATCATTTTCGTGAGGAAGCCTCAGGTAATTCGATGTGATCAAGATCCGGTTGTTTTGTTGTAATCCGTTTTCCCTTGCAAAAAACACTATAAAATGACATTTCTTGTTCTAATATAATCAAATTTCAAGAATCCCTTGCAAAAAATAAGGTAAAGTGGACATTCGCGCGCGCAAGACGAAATCCTTCCAAAAGCTTAGTGTTCGGAGCGATTTTAACATAAAAACATCAAAAAACCAATGGTTTTTCAACAAAAAAATGTCAAAATCTCATCCCGCGCGCTCTTGCGGATTCGTAGGAAACCCAACACTTTTTAAACATTTCTGTCAAACGGGCTTTTGCGAGCAACTTTTTCGAACTTCTGCGACAACGGTTGCGCACCTGCCAGGGCCATCATCCCTGTCAAATAATACCATGCGGGACACATTCGTTTTTTCTTCGCGCGCGCACGCCGAAATCTGCAAAAACCATTGGGTTCTTAAGAACCAATGGTAGCCACGGTCGTCCGCACGCCACGAAGTGAAGTGTCCCAACGTCATAGGGCGGGAAGCTGGGTTTGGGTGGTCGCGAAGAGTCGTTTGGATATTTGGTAGAGCTTGTAATGCCCCCCCACGAAGTGGGGGTATTGCCTGGTGTCGTATGAAAACCCTGGCACTGGGGAGAACACCACGCGTTCGGGTAAAATGATTGTTGTTGTTGTTTGTTGTTGTTGTCGTTGTTGTTGTTGTTGTTGCTGTTGAACATTATCACTTCTAAAGAATAATTATTGTTGGGACCCCTGGTGCACGACCCCCCCGCCGCGCCTAGGCCGCAGCCACGTTTTCATCATTTTCGTGAGGAAGTCTCAGGCAAAACGGGTTGGTCCGGATCCGGTTGTGTTGTTACGATCGGTTTTCCCTTGCAAAAAATAAGCTAAAGTGGACATTTCTTGTTCTAACATAACCAAACTTCAAGAATCCCTTGCAAAAAATAAGGTAAAGTGGACATTCGCGCGCGCAAGACGAAATCCTTCCAAAACCTTAGTTTTCGTAGCGATTTTAACATAAAAACATAAAAAAACAATGGTTTTTTTTTTTTAAAAAAAAAAATGACAAAATTTCATCCCGCGCGCTTTTGCGGATTCGTAGGAAACCCAACACTTTTTAAACATGTCTGTCAAACGGGCTTTTGCGAGCAACTTTTTCGAACTTCTGCAACAACGGTTGCGCACCTGCCAGGGCCATCATCCCTGTCAAATAATACCATGCGGGACACATTCGTTTTTTCTTCGCGCGCGCACGCCGTCGTCGTCGGCCGCGGGGCCCTGAATAGTAGCCACGGTCGTCCGCATGCCACGAAGTGAAGTGTCCGAACGTCATAGGGCGGGAAGCTGGGTGTGGGTGGTGGCGAAGAGTCGTTTGGAAATTTGGTAGAGCTTGAACCGGCCCCCCCACAAAGTGGGGGTATTGCCCGCCTCCTATGAAAACCCTGGCACTGGTGAGAACGGAGTGTCCCCACGTGCTAGTAATTGTTGTTGTTGTTGTTGTTGTTGTTGAACATTATTTATTCTAAAGAATAATTATTGTTGGGCCCCCTGGTGCGCGCCCCCCCTGCGCCGCCTAGGCCGCAGCTACATTTTCATCATTTTCGTGAGGAAGCCTCAGGTAAAACGATGTGATCCAGATCCGGTTGTTTTGTTGTAATCCGTTTTCCCTTGCAAAAAACACTATAACATGACATTTCTTGTTCTAATATAATCAAATTTCAAGAATCCCTTGCAAAAAATAAGGTAAAGTGGACATTCGCGCGCGCAAGACGAAATCCTTCCAAAAGCTTAGTGTTCGGAGCGATTTTAACATAAAAACATCAAAAAACCAATGGTTTTTCAACAAAAAAATGTCAAAATCTCATCCCGCGCGCTCTTGCGGATTCGTAGGAAACCCAACACTTTTTAAACATTTCTGTCAAACGGGCTTTTGCGAGCAACTTTTTCGAACTTCTGCGACAACGGTTGCGCACCTGCCAGGGCCATCATCCCTGTCAAATAATACCATGCGGGACACATTCGTTTTTTCTTCGCGCGCGCACGCCGAAATCTCCAAAAACCATTGGGTTCTTAAGAATTTTAGCACCGCGCATCATAAAATCACACGAATCGCACCGTAGGTCCTCGAAAAACACCTGCACGACTTTTCAAAATTTCCACCCGCGCATCGGACAACGATCGGGACCACCATCGGGACAACCATCGGGACATCCATCGGGACAACGATCGGGACCACCATCGGGGCAACCATCGGGAGAACCATCGGAACAACAATCGGAACAATCATCGGGACACTCATCGCGACAATTATCGGGACAACCACAACCATCAGGACCTCCAACCAGAGAGAGGTAGTCACGTGTATTTCGTCGACGAGTGAGCCAGTATTGCACATTGAGGCCGGAACGAGAACCACAGAACAAGAATGAGCATATATCGTCTCACAACAACGGAAACAAGTCCTGTGGTATGCTGGCGCCACGCACGTGATACCAGTCAAAATAAGGGTCTTGGCTTGTGTGGTACAGAAACGTTAAAACGTCGGAAAACGGTACACGTGCCCATTGTTGGAACAGGGGTATAAGTCGTATACTAAGCTAGTTTCCACAAGATGTTACCACAAGAAGTCATTGTAACCATGCGCCAGTGTAGTAGCCAAGGTCGTCCGCAGGCCACGAAGTGAAGTGTCCGAACGTCATAGGGCGGGAAGCTGGGTGTGGGTGGTGGCGAAGAGTCGTTTGGAAATTGGTAGAGCTTGAACCGGCCCCCCCACAAAGTGGGGGTATTGCCCGCCTCCTATGAAAACCCTGGCACTGGTGAGAACGGAGTGTCCCCAGTCTTAAATGATTGTTGTTGTTGTTGTTGTTGTTGTTGTTGTTGTTGTTGTTGTTGTTGTTGAACATTATTCCTTCTAAAGAATTATTATTGTTGGGACCCCTGGTGCGCGACCTCTGCGCCGCGCCTAGGCCGCAGCTACATTTTCATCATTTTTTCGCGAAAGCTTCAGAAAAGTGGATGAGCTCCGGATCCGGTTTTTTGTTGACGCTCGTTTTCCCTTGCAAAAAACAATAGAAAATGAAAATTCTTGTTCTTACTTGATCAAATTGCAAGAATCCCTTGCAAAAAATAAGGTAAAGTGGACATTCGTGCGCGCAAGACGAAATCCTTCCAAAACCTTAGGTTTCGTAACGATTTTAACATAAAAACATCAAAAACCCAATGGTTTTTTAAGAAAAAATTGTCAAAATGTCCTTCCGCGCGCGCTGTCCGAATCCCACAAAACCAATGGTTTTTCAACATTTATGTTACATGAGCTCGCGCGAGCTACTTTTTCTTGTTCTAACATAATCAAATTTCAATAATCCCTTGCAAAAAATAAGGTAAAGTGGACATTCGCGCGCGCAAGACGAAATCCTTCCAGAACCTTAGGTTTCGTAACGATTTCAACATAAAAACATCAAAAACCCAATGGTTTTTCAAAAAAAAATGTCCAAATTTCATCCCGCGCGCGCTGTCCGACTCCCACAAAACCAATGGTTTTTCAACATTTATGTTACATGAGCTCGCGCGAGCTACTTTTTCTTGTTCTAACATAATCAAATTTCAATACTCCCTTGCAAAAAAAAGTAAAGTGGACATTCGCGCGCGCAAGACCAACAAAAAACACGACGATCTCAGGAACTTGCCCCAAAAATGTGACCAACTCCGCTCTCTCTGTCTCTCTCTCTGTCTGCTCTCTGTCTCTCTCTCTGTCTGTCTGTGTCATGTATTGTATGTCACAATTGCAGGATGCTGGGCACACGCGCGCCCCGAATAAGTGACCAAGTTCTGTGGGTGTGTACCCCACGCCAGTGTAGTAGCCACGGTCGTCCGCACGCCACGAAGTGAAGTGTCCCAACGTCATAGGGCGGGAAGCTGGGTTTGGGTGGTCGCGAAGAGTCGTTTGGATATTTGGTAGAGCTTGAACTGCCCCCCCACGAAGTGGGGGTATTGTCTCGCGTCGCATGAAAACCCTGGCACTGGTGAGAACACTGAGCGTTCGGGTAAAATGATTGTTGTTGTTGTTGTTGTTGTTGTTGCTGCTGCGTTGGTGTTGTTGTTATTGTTGCTGTTGCTGTGTCTGTTGCTGTTGTTGCTGTTGCTGTTGCTGTTGTTGTTGCTGGCGACCCACCCCGCGACCCACCGGCCCACCCGCAACCCACCCGGCGACCCACCCGCGACCCACCCGCGACCCACACCTCGACCCACGCGCGACCCATCCGCGACCCATACCCGACCCACCCGCGACCCACCCGCGACCCGGCCCGCGACCAATACGCGACCCACCCGCGACCCACCCCGCGATCCACCCACATTGCTTTAACGAAAAGATCGGCGCCTGCGGCGGGCTCATTGCGTACTTTGTAAAAGTTAGAGTCCTGCGGCGGGCTTCTTCAAAGCCTCGCAGACTGACGACGTCCTCGCCGCCCCCTCACTGTTATCCGCCACTGCGGGGTGCTCCCCGCGCGGATTTCTTGGGTGTTCGCTGGCCCCCCCGGCGGCGCCTGTTCGTATTCTATTGTTGTTTTCGTCTATAATATCCTCGTGTGTCTTGACACTGCAGCTGGAGGGACACCATGAGCCCGGCCCGCAATGTGGTGAAGGTTTGTTATGGCTTTGGGCGGGGGGGGCTCTTCGTCATCGCTGTTCTCGTAGTGATCAGGGGTCAGGGTGTTCGGTAGGGCAGATAGGAAACGACACGGTCGCAATATGCGCATCTTTGCAACTCATGATCGCACTATCTCTTCAATGGGCGACCCATCCAACGAGCGAAACTCGATGTCTTCGACAGCGAATAGGGGAAACACACTAATTTGCATCGGGCCGCCTTTGATTTCGAAGCAGCATCGTCTACGTCTATCGTGCTGCTGCTTCTCTTCACCGCCTCTGCCTCCGCGCCGTCCTTATTATTGCCCCCTTCCTCCCAAGCACTCCCTCTCGCGCGCAGTCTGTCCGAGAACAACGGGGCCCGCACCTGCGAGTGGCAGGACATCATTTCGGAGTTCGAGGAGGAGCTGGGCCCTGGGGCTTCGTGGCGGAAAGAGGATGAGGAGGAGGTCCTTGGCGGTCCCCGGAGGACGAGTACTATGGAGGATGAGAAGGAGGAGAAGGAGGAGGAGGAGGCGGAGGAGGAGGAGGAAGAATAGAAACAGGAAGAGGAAGAGGAGGAGGAGAAGGAGGAGGAAGAGGGCGGCCGCCTCCGTGGCGCGGCTTGCGGCCGCGGGCAGGAGAACGGAAAGCTGTGGAAGTTCGGGCCGGTGGACCCCTCCGACAAGGAGCACCCCCTGCGCGGTGCCCCCGCAGCACGACGAGGGCGGGTCCTGGAGCAAGTGGGCCCTGGCGTGTGTGTCCCTCTACAGGAGGAAAATTAATAAGTAGTGAAATCGTATGGGGACGATTCTTTGACTATGTTTGCCCACTTGAGGGGTATGTTTGGAGTATACTCAATTCTGTCGCCCAAAGTCCCCCTGTAGGGGGATACGCCCGACTGTTCCCTGGAGTGTGTGTCCTTGTGTTCTGGCTCCTGGGGCCGTCCTGAGGTTAGGGGCCTTCAGGTAACGAGTCGGGGATGAGTCAGGCTGGCGCGTCCCCAGAGTGAAAAACCCAGTGGGAATTTATAGTATTTGTTTCTCCCCAAGAGGTTCGCTTTTCCGTTCGAGCTTTTTGTTGAAAATCGGTCGCGCGTCAAGCGTGATCAGCAATCGATTGCCGTGGGCATCGCCGCCTCTTCGTTGTCCGCCCCCTCTGTTTTTGTTCGAATGCGTCGTCCTGCCGACGCTGCGACGGTGAATGTGCGAAGTGCGAAGTTCCAGAGACAGTGCACGCACGGAGAGACGTTGCCGCGAAGGAGAGGTGCAATGAAAACCGTAATGGAAATCAGTGAAAGCTGAAAGTAATTTCGGTGGAACAATTCTGGCCCGTTTCAAGACATACTGTTTTCATAGGTTTTGGTTTTTTGGAGACCCATCGAGGGACCTTTCGCGGCGCTCCCAACGGCGACGGGGATTTGAATGTTCATGTCGTTCTCTCGTCGACTTGTCCAGCTGTTCATGGGAGTCGCGTTCGCCGTATATTTGGATCGCAATTACATTGCGGTCCCTGTCTGGTAGGACGGAGCATTCTTGCCGTCGTGACCATGGCGATAGGGCACCCTCCGCAAACGCGGTCAACGCGTTTGTAGGGAGCGTTGGCAAGGCCCTTGGATCATTAATCAGGAGCGCAGCGAAATGTCATCCGTTACATCTGCGGACACCGCCAGCCTGAGATGAGAAGCTGATTTTGCGGGAGGCCTTGGGGTCCCAGACTTGTTTCCTCCAGGAACCGTGTCCAACATGGTATGCGCCCTCGGCCTCGCCCCCCTTGCCATCCCGTCTGCACGGCAGTGGGGCGAGGGAGAAGCAGGGCTGATGAGGAGGAAGCAGGCGAAGCAGGAGAGGGGAGCATGAGGAGAGAGGAGATGACGGGAAGGCGAGGAACAGGAAGATCAATGAGGAAGGAGGAGGAGGGAGGACGAGGAGGAGGAGGAGGAGGCGGATGAGGAGGACGGGGAGGACGAGGAGGAGGAGGAGGAGGAAAAGGATGTAGGCAGACGTTCCGCAGCTTGAAGGATCTTGGAGGAGGAGGAGTAGGATTTGAGTAGACCCAGCGTGCGTCATTGGAAGTGTTTAGCACGATGTTGTTAGTTGATGTCTCGGGGGAAGGCCGTCTTGAAGGTCGCAGCGTCTCTCTCTCCGCGGCCTTGATTGCTCAAGCGGAGACGCGTGCCCATGTGGCACCGCGTAGCCGACTGGTTTGGGGCAGGTGTGATCTCCTATCTCAGCCGCTGTCCAGCAGCTCCAGCTTGCCCTCTGCCCAGTGCACTCGGAGTCGGAGCTTGCGTGTTTCGGCTCTTCGGACCTTCTCGCCGCAATGGCGTCCGGGGCCGTGCAGCTCTGGGCATGGATCCTGCACAGCGGGGACCGCGAGTGGCAGCAACGTCGAGTCTTGGGCCGCTTGCAGCCACCGGGTATGAGTCCAGTTAACGATCTTCTCCTGGCGTGCGTTACTCCCGACGCAGACGTCTACTTCGAGTTGCTCGACGGCACGAGCAGTGACCATCAGGCGGTCAGGTTCTCTTCATATCGACGGGCGGTCCCAGCAGGCATCGATCGGGCCCACACCTATCGATCCAGACGCGAGCCCACTGCTGCCGAGCTGGCCACCTTCATGGGCCACGCCCGCCAAGCCGCGGACGACCTCTTTCGTGCAGCAGGCAGCGGCCGCTGGACTTCCAGCGGTGGCGCCCCCAGGCGGGGCGCTGCTCCCGTTCGTGGCGCCAGCCCCGCCGGCCGCGGGTGCAGGCGCCATCGTCGCTGGCGGCCCGGCTCCTGCCGCGGCTTTGGGACCTGGACCTGTGGGCGCCAACTGGGTCACGGTGGAGTCCACGACCTTCGGAGCCCGGGGCACAGCTGTGGTCATGACGGCCGGTGACACCGTGCTGGGTGACGTTCGCATTTTCACCACCCGGCTGGCGTCGCGGGCCTAGTCAGAGATTTGCAAGGCAACCCGGTCAGCGAGTACATGCCTATGGAGAGCCATCACGACCTTCGGTTTACCAAGGCCATGATCATCGACGGACAGCACCGGGCGCGAGGTCGTTTCGGTCAGGGGGTTGTGCAGCTTCGAAAGTCCAGCCTCCGACAGGCCTGTACCAGGACCTCGGACTGTCCGCTGGTGCGCAGAGTGGCTCTTCCGCCGACAAGGCTCGCCGCTCGAGCATCATCGGTCGCCTTTCATGACGTTCGGATTGCGAGTCGACGACCGGGGAGTAGAGTTCCACCACACGGCGATGCGCTGCCTCGACGAGAGTGACATGATCGACACGAGTAGCAGTGCGACGCTTGAGCTGCTCACAGCTGGTCGAGTGAGTGTACCACATGGACTTTCCCTCTTCCCGCACCGCGGGAAAGGGCAAGGGCAATCACCCCGCGGCTTCGTTGCAGTACGCTGTGCTCGACGAGGTTGCCATCTTTTCAGGCATGCCCAAAGACTCGGGGGTGGCCATGGTCTGCCCGGGCCTCATCACCCACGTGGCGAGCGAGGTCGAGCGCGACGCGGCCAGCCTCGAGCACGCGCGCAAGGCTCGAGGGGAACGGTCGGAGCTCGCGAAGCAGAACAACGTGGGCCACAAGGGTAAGGAGCAGGGGCGACGCTTGCCCCTCCAGGGCTGGAGAAGCCTCCCAGCCAGACCTCGTCTCAGCATGAACCTCTGGGAGGGCCCGCCGAAGTATCTTTCGATGGGCAGCCTGCTACTAGCCACCCTTTTGTCAGTTGAGCGGAAGATCGGGACAAATCGGAACCAGAGATTCTGGGAGAGTTCCAGAGAGAAATAGAACGCCGATTTGTGGAGCGTAGCGCGCGCATTCGCAGAAGTTCCCAAAGAGTGTTCGCGGGCTTGAGGAGCCCAAGTAACACATGGGCGCTCAATTAAACTGTTAAGGGCGGGCAAAAAATCTGGTGTGCACGAGCATTGTGAGCGGGTGCGCGGCTTGCACGGGGGGCGCAGTAGGTTTGCGTTTCAGGGACTTGGGCGCTGGCCAATGCGCTGATGGGGGGCCCGAGAATGCGTCGCACATATTATGCCTGTGGCGCCATGGAGGCCGCATTTGCGGTTGCAGTTGGGCGGGCGCCCCGCCGCGCGCACCGCGGCGACAGCTCTCTTGGGCGCCCGCCCGCCGCCGTGGACGTAGTGGACCCAGCTAGTCTTCTCTCGGTCGGCGCGCGGCGGGTCGGCAGCCACGACGTTGGCGGCCTGAAAATGCTTCGAAAGTGTTTCTCCCCGAGCCCGGGGCTATTGTACGTTTTCGGTGGCACGCGCAGCTCGGAGAACAATCGCCTTGTCCGTCGGCGGCCAGTTGGCTGTCGTCGCGCAGAAGTACCGGCGGATGGCGCGGTCCACGCTCAGCGCAGAGAGCGCGTCCATGAGCGTGGACTCGTCGAGGGGCAGAAGGAAGGACCTCGCGGTCGGGACCATCGCGGCCCGCGATGTCCACGGCCTCCACCCTGGGCGCGCGAGGACCTGCTGGGCGCCGCCGCAGCGCGATTTCAGAGGATCTCGGAACCAGAAATCCGGGCGCGCCAAATTTCGCGGGCCGAAAAACTTTCAGAGAGTTTCAGCCAGCTCCGAGGTTTTGGGTTTATGGGAATGTTTCACGCGGGGTGGCTATTTCAGAGATTTTCAGAGATTCTCAGAGAAGTTCGGACGCGAGAATTTGGCGCGCCCCCGTTTCTGGTTCTGTGAATCTCTGAAAAGCGGTTCCTCAGGGTTCACCGGGTCTCCAGGCGTCCTACTGTCAGCCAGAGACGAGCGACTGGCTGGCGCCGCGCCCGATGCTTCCGGAGTTGCGAACTCGGTCTTCGATTCCCTGGGGCCCGCGGGCCCCTGGGCCAATTGCGAGGCTGCCGAGGCCCCCAGGCGGTTGCGCGCGATTGTCTCGGAAACCGGAGTTGGGCATCCATAGTGGACGCCCGCGCGCACGCGCTAGGTGTCCGCGAGATTGTTCGGTGGCGGATCTTGCATGGCGCGGGGATTTTCCAAGAAGACTTTCCGGGGTGTTCTCTACGGTTATTTCGGCGCGCTTCGGGAACCTTGGGGCGGCGCGGGGAAGTCGCCTGGCCGCGCGCGTGACTTTTTTCCAATGCCGTCTTGGGCATTATCGCGGTGTTGCTTGGCCGACGAGGTCACTGAGTAACACGATGTTTGACATTTTAGTGTTTTTTCGTTGCGTTGGTTGCGCGATTGTTTTGGCGGTCCGCCTCCTTGGGGCCCCCTTTGGGCTTCAAGTTTGTTTTGTTGACGTCGGGCCTTCTGGAGTGAAAGGCGCTTGGCGCTGAATTCCCTCGGTCGCGCGCGTGGCCAAATACGCGCCGTGGCTTCATCCGCGCCGGGGCGCTTCTCTTCCCTCGCGAAGTCGATGGCGCCCAAGGCGTGGCAGGCCCGTTCGGCGGCGCCCCCGGTGATTTGAAAAACCGAGCATGATTTTTATCCCGATCAAATATTGCCCCGATCCCGGCTTCATCTTATTTTGGGGCGGAGGCACGCCAGCGCAACTGGCTGCCTCCTTCCCGCCCGTCTGCAGTTTCGAATCGAGATCAGAGCGGGGCTGCAGCGCGCCTCTGCAGTTCTACACGTCGCCCGCATTCTCGCACCAACCACGTGGATTTATTGTGCGATGAGATTGCTGGCGCGCTCGACGACATGCACCTCGGCTCACGCAGCCCCAGGTCGCCTCGTGGTCCTGCCGCTCGCCGGCAGGCCAGCCCCAGCCTGATTCGGCAACCGGGGTGCGCCATAAAACCCCCGCCAGGCGACATGAGCGGCCCATGGGCCGTTCGAGCTCTTCGGGCCGAGAGCGCCTGCGGCGAAGGCGCCGTGATCGCGCCCCTCGCCAAGGACGCAGTACACTTGGTTGACCTGCCCTCTTCGGGGGCCACGTCGCGGCCCTCGGGGCACCCGGCAGGGGTCCGAGGCAAAAAGAGTGCTGAGCATCTAATTCAATCGCGCTTGCCAGAATCCCTTGTCAGGGAGAACGCCCCTCTTCAAGGGCCTGCTCGTCCCTGCTCCGACTCTGCTCTCCAGAAGTCGCCGCGGTTTTACGCGGAGCTGTCTTGCGGGCCGTTCGCTGCGCAAGAGAAGTCCGGGCAGTTTCGGCTGATAGTGGACGGTCGCCTACCTTCGTGTCGCATGCGCGATAGTGGTCCTGTTTCCCTGGCCTCGGGAGCTGCCTTTTCGGCCATGCAGGTAGACGGCAGCTCTCCCATCCAGGTCGGCTCGGTCGATATCGCGAACGCTTTCTACGACGCGCAGTTGCCTGAGACCCTTCGGGGCATGTTTTGTCTTCCACGGATCCGACCCGATCTGGTTGGCGTCGCATCGGTCCACGGTCGGGCCGTTCGACGCGGGCAGTGCATTTTCCCAATTCTGAGAGCGATCCCCATGGGATGGAAGCTGTCTCTGCGGGCCCGCCGGCAAGTTCTCGAGCACCGAGCCCGTCTGGTTCGAGGGGTGACTGAAACCAGCGCGGTTGTCGAACATGCGCTTCCTCCGGGTCTGTCTCCTGTCGCCCACGCCGAGTACGTCGACAATTGCCGTGCTGTCGGCAGGGGCCCAGAGGTTGCGAGGTCTGTGGCGTCTGAAGTGGAGCGCGAGCTCCATCGAGTCGACCTCCCAATTCATCCTGTCGAAGCCGGCTCGGGGGTCACCGCTTTGGTTTGGACCTTCGCGGAGGAGGGCGCCTCTGTGGGGGTGGGCCCCCGTGTGGCCCGGCGAATTCGATTAGCTATTCTACAGACTTGCTGCTGTTATGTCACACTACACGGGCTTTGCTTCTACGTGGGCTGTTGTGTGTTCTCTGCCTGCTACTCCTTTGCAGCTGGCGCCGGTCCCAGGCGCCGCCGACCTATGGGGGTCTGTTCGCCGCGAGCTACGCCGAGCATCAGCTTCGGCCCTCCTATCGTCTCGGGACTTGGGCGCGGCCTGGTCTGAGGGCGTCTCGGCCGTGGATGCTCCATCTTGGGGCGGCGTTGTTGTTCAGCAGAGGCCCCCGCAAGGCTCAGTGAAACAGAATGGTTTGTACGATGTGCGTTGGAGTTTCTCTCGGCAAGATGAATTGGGTTATCGCCCTCGGGATCATGCACTCGCTCTGGCTACTCTTGGAGGCTTTCCTGCGGACGGCTTTGCTCCTAGGGGCCCTGCGCATCCCCTACAGCGCCCAGGCTCCATCATGCCCCTTAACATCGGCCCCGACGCGTGGGGCGGGGACTGGCACAGGGCCCTCGCCAGGAAGTGGGCCCGCGCGGAGGCTCAAGTGATCCTCGAGGGCCGCGCCGTGGTCTTGGCCCACCTCCACAAAACGCCGTCCCTGGCTAACTTCGGGAAGCGCCACCTCTTCTTGGGCGACGCCATGGCTGGCATTTTGGCAGTCTCGAAGGGCCGCTCGTCATCGAAGCTGATGCGGATATGTCGGCAGATCGCTGGCCTCAACCTAGCTACTTCCCGTTGGAGGTGGCCCCCGTCAGAGCACGGTCCCGCAGGCCGCGGCTCAAGGCGCAAGGCGGGTGATTGGGCCGAGGCTTCTCTTCGACGCCGAGAGCCCGAGGGGCCCGCGCTTCCGACCCCCGCGCCGAGGCGTGCTCCCGTGGGCGGCGACAGCTGCGGCCAGCGTCACCGACGAGTCCGGGACTTCGCAGCCCGCCTCGGGCGCGCCTGCGGCGCCGAGGTCAGCCCCGCTCTTGGCGGCTTCGCCGGCGCCGACGCCTCGGAGGATTTGCCGGAAGCGTCGGGCAAGCTGCCCAGGCTTTCAGCCCCGCGGGATCGAGTCCGATTTCCGCGCCGAAAGGGCCGCCCGCCGTCGGAGGGACCACGGCCAGGAGCCCACCTTCGACGAGAGCGGCCTGGCGCTGCTCGAGAGACGCACGGTTCAGCGCCCACAAGAGGCGAGGTACAAGCCCGCGGTGACGCAGTTTACCCTGTGGTGCTTGACCGCAGGCCTCCCCGCGCGCGCGACCTGCCAGCTCGACCAGACGGCAATGACCTACTTCACCGACCAGTTCTTCGCGGGCTTGCCGAGCTCGGAAGGCGGGGGGCCATCCTGCCCGTGCTTCGGATGCAAGTCCTGGGAGGTGAAGTTCTGCATCGGCGATGGGGAAAAGGGGGGCAGGGGGGGGCCGAAGGGGTACGTCCTTCCCCCCGCCCCGCTTGGTCCCCGCGGGAGATGAGCAGTGCCAGGGGTCCCTTCCGAGCAATCAGCGCTGCCTGAGCGATCATTCGGCCAGCGTTGTCCCCACCAGCAGGGCGGATAATTGAACAGACCGCCTTTTGGAGGCCGCCGGGATCCAAGCGTCGGATCTTTGTACACGCGGTGTGTGTTCGTGCATTATGTCATATGTGTGTTTGCAGTCGATGTTGGCACTCTTCTGGGTCCGAGGGTCGTTGTCTAGTTCGAGTAGGGGATCGACTACAGGATTGATGTACCCCAATGTTGTTTTCCTTGTCGAGTCATGCGTCGAATCTTCGTACATCTACGGGGTTGGTGTGTTTTGTTCCTCTGGGTGCGGTCTGCTCCTCCTCGTCCCCCATCTGCATGTTCCGCTGTAGGTCGAGTTGTTCTTCATGTCTTTTCGGCACTGGGTCCCACGTTCGCCATTTGCGCCCCTGGCTTGCACGGTTAGCGACGGTCGCCCATTCAGGCGCACGGCCGTTCTGGTCGGCCGTTTTGTTTGGCGACGGCCCCGTCGCCATATCACAACGAATTGTTCTTGCCTTGTAATGGGTGTCCTCGGACCCCTAATTTCTTATGCTCGCAGCGCCCTGGGCAATTCGATTTGCGGAGCCTCCTGGCTGTGAGCGTGTCCTCGTTTGGTCCGCCTTTTTTGTTTCAACCAGTCGGCTCTCGCATCTTCCGTCTACCGTGCTGGTTTGCCCCATGAGGGCAAATTGTGTGAGCACCGTGGGAGGATTCTTAGAGAGGAACACGCACGCGCGGGTCTAGTGAGCATGGATATTCCGTTCACTCTTCCTGTTTTTTGTTTTTCCTTTTGCGCCTCTGCCCTCGCGCCTCCCTCCTGCTCGTCCTATTTCCTGGAAGCTGTAGGGTAACCCACGGCTGCCGCTGGAGGCCAGCCGAAGAGCTTACGATTTCGTGCGATCGGCAGGGCCTCACTGTGTCTCGACAAATGAGTAAAACATCAAGTGAAAACCAGTACCTCAGTGTACATAAGACGCGCGGCACTCGTGGCCCGTCGTGGGAGCGCTCCGCCCCCCAGGTCACGCTTAAGGGGCCCGGTATAGTCAAGCATTTGTCAGCTTTGTGCTGGCCGCCGCACGGTGACCGTTTAATAACGCCATCGTTGGCAAGACAGCTCGTATGCATGGCTGGACGTCTCATGTGCACGGCGTTTGAAGTGGCTTACAGATTTCACGACTAAGTAGCCGAACCTAACCTGTCATCGTGCTCTTGGGTCGGCTCCCCCTCCTCATCTCCAACATTGCGCTGAAAGGAATCGCATGTTTACGGGCATTATACGCATTTCTTATGGGTTTGACGAGGAAATCGATTTTGGGGTACATCGATTCTGTAGTCTAGCCCCTACTCGACTTGTCTTGTCACCCCCTTTTGGATCAGGAGGAGGTGCACGCCACCTTCGAGCAGATGGCCTCCGCCCGCGTGAGCTCTCCAACCCCAGCGTGCGAGGGTGGGCCAGAAGACTCCGAGGCGCGCGGTACTTCGAGGGGAGGGGGGCTCGCCCCCACCCACTGGATCGAGGGTCAGCTTTCGCTAGAAGGGGAGGTGATCGAAGAAGAGAAAACGGCATAGACATGAATTTTGGCGGTCCGCGCGGGTTTCTTGGGTCTGCGATGGGTCTCCCCTGGCGGCGAGTCCGGCGCCGCCCCTGGCGCGCTCCGCGCGCCAGGTAGGGGGGTCCAGCGCGGATCCAAGAACGCCGCGCGGACCGTCAACAGTTTATGTCTATGCCTCGGGGGTGGACAGAAGCCCCACCTTGACACGTCGATAGTCGATAAGTGAATTGTCCGTTTTCGGTTCTTGAGAGGGCGCCGCGGCCGTCATGGGCCCGAGGTCGTCTTCACTAAATCATGTTTTTCTAAAAGGGGTTCTGTCCATCTCCGAATGCAGTCTTTTGTGTTCCTCTGGGTGAGGACGGAGGGAAGAGACCATCCTGGTGGAGTTTCGAAGGCTCTTGCTGGCTCGGATGCACGTTCGGAGCTCCTGGAAGGCCTGAGGCGGCTCCTGAGGGAGTTCTCGGGGATTCTGGAGCGCATGTGGTCAGTAAACAGCGGAGGCCCATACCAAGAGTCACGCTGCTTCCCTCCAGGGTGCCCTGGGTTTCTTGGATTTCGTTGGTTTGGCTATGGGAAGCGCAAGGGTCCCACACTAAAAATCAATGGACGTCATGGGATCTCAGGGTTGGGTTTCTTGTTGAAGGTTTCGTGTGGGCTGACCTCCATTGTAGATGCAGACAGATGAAGAGTTTCCTCTTCCATAATCCTTTTCCTCCAACTTCTATTGTTGTTTGGCCGAAGAAGTTTTGGTGCTCCTACTCCTTCTCCTCCACCTCTCCGCCCTCCCTCTTCCCTCTCCTCTCTTTTCCCTCTCCCTCCCTCTTCCCTCTCCTCCCTCCCTTTCCTCCCTCCCTCTCCTCCGTCCTCGTCGGCACCGTAATTCGGGATCCGCGCACGGCCTGTGCCGCCGACCCTGGAGGCATCGGCTCTCGACGGCAAAGGGGGGGAGAGACGGGGGGGAGGAGGAAGAGGAGGAGGAGGAGAAGGAGGAGGAGAAGGGGGGAGGAGGAGCAAGAGGAGGAGGGAGAAGAGGAGGAGGAGAAATGGAAAAGGGAGAGAAGGGGGAGGAGGAGGAAGAGGATGGAGCAGGCGTAGACGACGAAAACGATGGAGGACCCCCCCCCTCTGGCGGGGAAGGGAAGAAAGAAAAGGGGCTTCCCTTTGACTCAGAGGCGACGTTGGTCCGTTTCGGTTTGTACCGACACGCTTCAGGAAAAGGTTTTGAAAAGGTTTCAGGACAGGAGAGAAAGCGACGGGCGCAGTGGAGGAGAAGGCTGTAGGGAAGGGACAGAAGCGACGCCGGGAGGGCGGCGTATCTGACCCAGGACCCCCCCCGCTACCCCGTCCGGGACCCCCCCTGGGACCTCCCCCCTTCCCCTGGCGGGGAAGGGTCAGAAGCGACGCCGGGAGGGCGGCGTATCTGATCCAGGACCCCCCCCGGGACCCCCCCCCCTGACGGGGACGGGAAGAAAGGGAAGGGGCTTCGTTTTGACTCAGAGGCGACGTTGTTCCGTTTCGGTTTGTACCGACACGCTTCAGGAAAAGGTTTTAGGACAGGAGAGAAAGCGACGGGCGCAGTGGAGGAGAAGGCTGTAGGGAAGGGACAGAAGCGACGACGCTGCAGGGAACCGGGAAAAAGGAACGACGAGGAAGATGGGGCAAACAACAAAGCCTCTTCCACACGCCGACAGGGTCGGCGGATTTGGACTTCTTTAATTCCGCTGTACATGTGAGGTCGAACGAGTGGCCACTTATCAAGGTACTTCTCTGCATCATCTGTGGGGCATTCGTGAAGCCCGGTGCGAATACCTGGCGTCTTGCCTTTCGATTTCGCAGGGGCGGTGCCGTTGCACCGCCCCCCCCCTGCCAGCTGTCAGATTGCCACCGTCACCCGCGACAAAATCAGCGAGTAGGCGCTGCGCCTTCTTAGTGCCCTGGCTGGGAAGCCTCCTCATCCTTCTCCCCTTTGCCCTTCCCTCCCTCCTCTTCGACTGGCTCCTCCAGACCAGTTGGCTCCTGCCCTCCTGATGCTTTCTCGTTCACATCGTCCCCAGGCGGACTGCATCTGTCCCATCTGTTCCGCACCATCGTTTCCGGCGCTTCGCGCCGTCCGCTGCCCTCTCGTTTCTGTGCGTTCGGCCGCCTGGAACCTGGGACCGGGCCTCTTTCCTCTGGGGAGCATGGCGGTCGAACAAGTTCTCGGGGTGAGAGACGGCGCGCAGACCGCTACAGTGCCAAGTCTGACTGACCAGCCTCATGCCCCTCCCTCTCCTGCCATTCGCCCTCCTCGTCCGGCGTTTCCCTTCCTCCTTTCCCCCTTCATCTCGATGGCGCTACCCTGCCGGTCTCCCCAGGGTAGCTCTCAGTGTTCACCGTCCTGGTTCCTTGGCTTCTCGCGTGTCATCGCTACCTCCGGTGAGGGTTGTCCCCATGGTGCGCTTCTCCTCCACGGGCCGCCCGCTCCTGCTCCTCTCGCCGTTGTTGCTGCCACCAGTCGTCGTCCTCCTCCCTCTCCTCGTTCTCCTCCCCCATCCGGACTCGTGTTCCGTTTCGTAGGTCGGGAGAGGTGTTCGGTCCGACAATTCTTTGCTTTGCTTTGTCCTCATCGACCCCCAATGCACTGGCCCCATAACTTGGGAGAGTAGCAGGCTACGTTCCACTGCCTGAGCGTCACCGAAGACGGGGGATCCCCCCAAGTGGTGACGCCTACGCCACTGCGGGATAGCCGCGTTTTCCACATGTCAGTCGTGCCTCCCTCGTGTTCATCGGCGGAGTCATTTCAGTCGCGGGCACTCCTCCCCCATTATTCAGGATACATCTCGTGAGAGGTTATCTCTTCACTCAGCATCGGCGCTGGCCCATCTGCAGAAGTCTACCCCTCCTCTTCCCAATAGCCCACAGCATGATGAGCAGTGTAGCACACTTGAGGCAGCATGTCAGGGAGCATCGCTTGACATAGCCGTTTCGGCACGAGTTGATCGAGATAGATTCTTGATGGTAGCGGAGCGGGTCGGTCCCACGACTCGTGCCATCCTTGCGTGCGCCAGTGGGAATGGAGTTTGCGCTTGAGGTGCGCGAGATCGTAGTCGTTGAGGCTTCGGTTTCGAGCCACGCGCCGTCGTGCAGCTACGCGGCCTGCACCCAGATCAGATCAGCGACACGTTGCGGCAGCAACAGGCTGCCATGGCGACTTCTCAACAGCGCTCGGAAGACGCGATGGCCGGTCTGGCCAAACAGCTTCAGGAGCAGAGCGCGGCGCTGCAGGCAGCAGTACAAGTTAGTGCGGAGCTCCTGCGGGCATGCTCGTTTCAACGGCCGTGGAGAAGCCTGTGAGCTTCAGTGGTAAACAGCGACTCGGCCAGATGGTCGCGTAAGTGCGTGACCTGGCTTCAGTGCCAGTACGAGAACACCGAGGAACTGTTGGAATGGGCGACTGGTCCCTCCGATCACCGACATCAGAGCCAGCGAGGTCGTGGGCGTGATGCATGGAGCACAACAGAGATCGTCATCTGATCCTAATGTCACATCTGATTCATGGGACAACGGGTTCCGACCTCATCAAGAACACGCGCAATCCCGAGGATTACACGGATGGCCGAAAGTCGACTGGACGCGCGACCCCCGCACCCCCAGCGCCAGTTTGCGCCTTGTTGTCCACCATCGGATTGGGCAATGGGAACATGATGATGTGGACTACAAGAAGAGGACCCGGGAGGAGTTGAGCGACGCCATTGAGCGCGCGACGCTCCCCGCGATGTGCCCGGACGTTTCATCCCAGCATTTTGACCTCAACGCTGGGGGCTTGCAGGCCTACAAGGTGATCAAGCTGGAGATCGAACGCTACGTGGAGCAGAGCCTGTCACGAACAGGGCCCGCGCCGATGGAGGTAGGAGATTCGTCTCCAAGGGAGCGCCGTTAGGTGGCAAGTGTAGCGGCGAAGGTAAAGACGGAGGCACCTGCAAAGGCAACGGTCAGGACCCTGGAACAGATAAAAGGTAAGGACGGCGGCAACCCCAGTACGGGGGCCGTGCGCGGACAGCAACAGTTTCACGTGCACTGCGGCAGGTGCCGAAGATGGGATCATAGATTGGGAAGACTCATCAATACGGACGCGAACGAAAACCCCATCGCACCCAAGCTGGGGGCGTCCAAGGGTGACCCCAACGGCAGGCCCAAGGGCGCGCCTAAGAGTTGCCGTGTCGGCGGCTGTGGGAACGGCGGCGGCGGCGTCGTGCATGAGCCCTGCGAGCAGACATACCCGACGGAAGGCGTGCCGACAGCGACCGGGGAGACGAGCAGTCTCTCTTGACGGTGGAAACGGGGGCCCCAGGATCGAGAGTTCTTGAATTTTTGAACGAGCAGGGTGACCATTCTCGCAGTTGTTCGCCATCGGCCTCGTCCAGCCACCTCCCTGCGCGCATATGGAGAAGTCGTGGGCCGACTTGTCCTCAGAGGCTCGAGGTGTTGACATGAGAAGGAGGAGGAGGAGGAGGAGGAGGAGGAGGAGGAGCGGCGCAGGGCAGGGCTCCGGTTTCGACTGCGGCTCCGAGGACGACCGATGTCGAACGCCGCCTTGCCAGCGCGCGGCCGGGCGATTCGCCGCCCTCGGCAGACACGCCCCGATCGCCTGCGACCCCCCTGAAAGCAGCGCCCGAGGCGTGGCGGCTCGGAGCAACCCCTCTCCCCACTGGACCGTCGCGCGCCCCAGGGGCCTCTCCTCCAGGGCGCCCCGCGCGGGCCCGTCGCCTGCGAGCTCCCTCCGTGCGCCGCCCGCCCCGCGGATCTCCGGGTGCGCCGAGCTGGCCCGCGGGGATTCCGGGGGGGCCCGGGAGGGCAGTGCTCCCCGCCCCAAGTTCCGCCCCTCCATAAAGAAGCGGCTGTCCTAGACCGCCCAGCTCTCCGGGCCCCCCTCCGCGCCTGAAGCCAGCAGCCTCTGACCCCCCCCCGCCGTCGAAGATCATTGCCCTTCCAACCTCCACAACCTGGCCTCTCGACGCCCAGGCACCCGAGCACCCAGGTAACAAATACTGGCCGCTTAACTCCTCTCTTCAAGCGACGGATGCCACGCATGCCAAAAAGCACGCGACACTGGCGGGGAAGGAGAAGGGAGGAGGAGAAGGGAGAAGGTGGAGGAGGGGGAGCAGGGGGAGGAGGAGGAGAAGGAGGAGGAGGAGGAGGAGGAGGAAGAGGAGGAGGAGGAGGAGGAGGAGGAGGGCGAAGAGGGAACGCCCGTTTTCGCGGCTCGGCCGATGGCGCCGGGGGGCCGAAGCGGCGACGGAGATCGTGAAGGCAATTTTCAGCGCACAGATGACATTTTGAACCAAAGGCAGCAACTTCAAACATGTTGCTGGTTCCCCGTTGTCGCCCTCCTCACAATTTGAGAAATTTGTGTTGCTCCACCCTCGCAACCCTTGCAACAATTTGAACACTGTGCCGCATTCCGCTTCCACAACCTTGAAATGATTTGGAAAATCGATCTCGCGCCCCCTGTGCAACAATTTCGACCGCTCCTCGACGATGCCGTTGAAGGGAGCCTTGCAGCCAGCCAGTGTATGCAGGTTGGTGTTCCTTCGCGCTGGGCAGCGCTTCGTCCTTCTCACGAAGACCTCCAGGGATCGCTGGCCGCCAACAATTCGTATCGTCGGCCTCACGGGCGAGGCCCCGCCTGGAGCGCACCCGTGCGACCGCGTTTCCGTTGGCTCGCGCAGTCGCGTCCAGGCTGGGCGCGGCTACGGACATGCTCGCTGTTCGCTGCGAACGTCCAGCCAGCATTGGTTAAGAGCCAAGAGACGTACTTTTCTCCTGCAGTTGTTGTTTCAAGCTAGTGGCCTTCGGCCCATCCCGCCACCGTGCATGGGTCGTGGGTCGAGGCCTCTCGAAGAGCCGCTTAGGGTGCTTTTTGGGGGCTTGTCGGAAACATCTTTGTGGGCCTTTGGGGCTTATTGGGAACATCTTTGGGGACAGCTTCCAGTCTCGGAGGCCTCCTGACGTCGTGCACCGAGACAGGCGTTGGCGCTGCCCGGCGAGCTCATGACGCCCTCCATCTCCGTTTCGGAGGCCTCGCAATCGCGGTCGCAGCAGGCCCGCCCGCGCCGTCTTGCCCAGACCATGGCGGCGGCGCGAGGCGACAACGACGACGACGACGAGGACGAGGAGGAGGCGAACGACGACGAGAGCAAGGGCGAGGACGAAGACGACGACGGCAAGGTCGACGACGAGGAGGACGAGGATGAGAACGACGACGAGGACAAGGTCGAGGACGAGGACGAGGACGCTGACGACGACGCTGAGGACGAGGACGAGGACACAGACGACAAAGAGGCGACGACGACGACGACACCGACGACGACGACAACGACGAGGACGACAACGACGACGAGGACGAGGATCAAGTCCGAGGACGATGATGAGAGCGAGGACGAGGACGAGGGCGAAGACGACGACAGCGACAACGACGAAGACGCGGACGAGTTTTCTGACGTCGACACTGACGCCGTCGACGACTACAACAGTGACAAATACGGGGGCGATAATCATTACGAAGACGAGGACGACGATGAGAATGCAGATGAGGACTTCGACGACGACAACGACGAGGACGCTAACGACGACGACGACGACGAGGACGAGTACGCGGACGACGACGAGGACGACGACGACGCTGAGGACGACGACCACGACGTCGACATCGTCATCGACATCGACATCGACCAGGACGGGGACGAGGAGGAGACCGAGGACGAGGGCAAGGACAAGGCTCAAGGACGACCAGGACGAGGATGAGGACTCGGGCCCCGTCGAAGAGGACCAGGTCGTTGACGACGAAGACGGCGACGACACCGACGGGGACAGGGACGGGGATGGGGACGACGACGACAAGGACGCGGGCGATGCCGACGACAAAAACGAGGACGCGGACGAGGACGGGGACGGAAACGAGGGCGACGACGACCTTCACGGCGACGACGACAACGACGACGGGGACGTGGGCGCGGACTACGACGACATTGATGCCGACGGCGATAAGAACGAGGGTGGTGAGGACGAGAACGAAGACGACGATGGCTCGAAGGACCAGGATGTAGACGAGGAAAGGGGCTTCGACGACGACGGCAACGACGACGGCAACGGTGACGAGGACGTCGACAACGCAAACGACGAGGACGCGTACCAGGACGCTGACGACGACGCCGTCGACGACAACGACGGGGACGGGGACGGGGACGGTTGCGACGGCGACGACGGCGGCGACGAGGACGTCGAGGACATCGACGATGGCGAGGACGAGGAAACTGACGAGGATGAGGATGCGGACGAGGACTCTCACGACGACGACGACAAGAACCAGGTCGAGGGCGATGAGGAGGATACTGAGAACCGCGATGACGACGACAAGGAAGCGGAGGCCAAGAACGAGGAGGACGGCGAAGACGAGGACCAGAAGGCGGACGACGAGGGCGACGAAGACGGGGACGAAGACGCGGACGACGACGACCACGACCACGACGAGGGCACGGACGATTACGAGGGCGAGGGCGAGGACTAAGATGAGGACGCCGACGACGACGGGGAAGAGAACGAATACGAGGGCGAACACGGCAATTTGGAGAACGAGGAGAACGACGACGACAACGATGATGATGACGACGACACCGGCGACGACGCGGACGACGGCGTCGTCGAGGAGGACGAGGACGACAAGGACGATGGTGAGGACGCAGATGAGGACGAGGACTACGAAGACGATGATGGGGACGAGGACGAAGTAGAGGACGAGGCCGATGACGAGGACCAGGATGAGGACGAGGATCAGGACGAGGACGAGGACAGGGAGCCAGACGACGAGGACGACGACGACGACGAGGAGGATGAGGACGAGAACGAAGCCGAGGCTGAGGAGGAGGACGACGCCGACGAGGACGGACGACATGTACGAGGATGGGGCCGGGGACGAGGATGAGGATGGCGACGCCGACCTTGACGAGGACGGCGGCGACGACGACAACGACGAAGTCGACGGCGATGACGACGACGAGAACGATGACGCAAGAACGACGACGAAGACGACGAAGACGCGGACGAGGAGGACGACCACGATCGGAACGATGACGAAGAGGACGACGACAACGACGACCACGATTACGACGACGAGGAGGGGAGGGGAGGAGGAGGAGGAGGAAGCCGACGACGACGCTGACGACGACGACGAAGACGACGAGGACGAGGACGAGGACGAGAATGACGACGACGACGAGGAGGACGAGGACGACGACGAGGACACCGAGGTCGAGGCGGAGCAGCAGGACGAGGACCACGAGGACGAGGCTGCGGCCGAGGACAAGGATGATGACGACGACGCCGACGACGACGACGAGGACGAGGACGACGATGGCGACGACCACGACGACGAGGAGCAGGACGAGGACGACGACGATGAGAAGGACGACGACGAGGACCTGCAGAATGAGGACCACGACGAGGACGACGACGGTGACGACTAGCACCAGGACGAGGATGAGGACGACGATGTCGACGAGATCGACCAGGAGGACTTTGAGAACGATTCCGACGACGACCATGACGACGAGGATGAGGACGACGACGACGATGAGGACGACGACGACGACGACGACGACGACGACTAGGACGACGACGACGACGACTGTGGCGGCGGTCGCGACGACGTCGACAACGACGACGTGGACGACGAGGAAGACGAGACGGACGATGAGGACTACGCAGACGACGACCACGACGACGAGCACCACGACGACACCGATGAGGACGACGACAGCGATGACAACGAGAACGAGGACGAGGAGGACGACGATGACGACGACGCGGACGAAGAGGACATCGGCGACGACGATGACGACTACGACTACGAGGACGACGACGACGTCGACGGCGACAAGAACGATTACGAGGACGAGGACGAAAACGATGTCGACGACGAGCACGAGAATGAGAATCAGGACGAGGACGAGGACTAGGTTGAGGACGAGGACGATTTCGAGAAGGACGACGCTGACGACGACGTCGACGACAGCGACGACAAGGATGAGCTCGAGGACGACGACTAGGAAGACGTCGACGAGTCGACGAGCACCACGACGACGACCACCAGGACGAGGACGAGAAGGACAAGGACCAAGACGGCGACGAAGGCTACGAGTACGACCAGGAGGAGGACAATGGCGAGGATGAGGACGAGGAAGACGAGGAGGACGTCGACGAGGGCCACGATGACGACGACGACCACGAGGACGGGACAAGGGGAACGAGGAGGAGGCGGTGGAGGCGGAGGGGGAGGCCGACGACGAGGACGATTACGAGTGTGAGGACGAGGACGACGACGACGATGAGATCGCGCACGTCGAGGAGGGGGGCGATGACGAGGACGAGGACGAGGACGTCGACGAGGACGCCGACGAGGACGCCGACGACGACGACGACGACGACGATGACGACGAGGGGCGACGAGGACGTCTGCGGCATCGAGGTTTACGTCGATGAGGGGTGACGGTGAAGACGGGGCCCGTTGGCGAAAGCGGGCTTCTTAGGGTGGATCGCCGAAGGACAAACAACGACATAATCCTACGGTAGGTTCGTATGTTGTCGACCGGCTGCGTTCCCACCGCTGGCGTTCGACGTTGAACTTGGAGGGTGAAAGAGGGGGTCTGCAACAGGGGGTCTTCAATGGGGGCTGAACTGCCCACGTATGCTCAATGTATCGTTCATGTATGTGAACGGGTACGATTGGCATCCAATGTTGGCGGTCATTGAGGGCCAGTCGTTCGTGCCCGCGCGTTGCCCGCGCGGGCACACGCGCCGTCCATCCATTATCGTTCATGCGTGCGGGGGTTCTTGCATATTGCGCGTGGGGCAGCGAAGTGGAGTGCAAGTATGTCTTGATTGTGCGATTGATGATCGTGTATGTTCCCAAACGATGACTTCTCGACCCCCAAGACAGATTTGGATTGGGGCCCACTTTTCTCCCAAAATGTGAATTCACATTTTCCTTTTTCCCAAAATGTGAATTCACATTTTCCTTTTTCCCAAAATGTGAATTCACATTCTGGCCCCTTTCATAAAGAATCCTACACACAATTCCAAAATGTGAATTAACATTTTCCTTTTTTCCAAAATGTGAATTCACATTTTCCTTTTTCCCAAAATGTGAATTCACATTTTGCTTTCCCCCACAATGTGAATTCACATTTTGCCCTGGCCTTCAAGATCCCCAACACTGAAGCGTTTTGGTCCGCATGTCAGATTGGCTGGGCAGATTTCGACACTCACATGACCGCTTTCGTGTGTTCCAGCCTTTTCTTTTTGCGCCCTCAGCGCACGTTGCCTTCGTCGCCTTTCCCGAGCCCCCCGCCCCCTTGCTTCTTTTCCTTTCAAGTATCGCGCATGGGTGCAAGCGGGGGGCTTCCATTAGTTCCCCCGCCGACCACAGCAATCGAGGATGCATCGCCCATTCATGGCCCATAAAGACATCATTGCCGGGACCCTGCGGCCGACCCCCACTTTCACCCTCCAATGAACGCCTGCGGCGACTAAGCATTGGTCGATGTTGAACGGTCTGACATTTCGGAATCGGCCGATCATTCAAGGTTGAAAGTTCTCCGCGGTGTCAGCAACCAGCGCCGGGTCGACACGAAACAAACCAGAAGTAAGTTTCAGGAGCTCCCCGCTGAGTTCTTAGATCTGCGCTGGAATCCCTTGGCGGCGCCTCCGGCGCCGCCCCTGGCACGATCAGCGCGCCAGGGGGGGTGCAGCACAGATCCAATGTATCCGCGCGGACCTCCCAAGGTTTCTGCGGTTTTCCTTTTCGAGGGAGTTGAAACGGGGAGAAGCCGGGAATCGGAGGCTGGTGGAGAGGGATGGAGAGGGAGTGCATCAAGACATGATTGTCGCCCCCACGCGCGAGGAATATGTTGGTCAGGGACACGTCGCGGCAAGGCTTGCCAAACTCATCCATAATTTGTTGGGGAAGAGTATCAAGTCTGAGTTGCTCTATCACAGGCCTCTTCGTGTGATGAACATAATCCGAGAACTTACGATGGAATCTGTCATGCGTGGACGTTGCGTTGTGTTCCCCTCAGGGATACAGCTACTCCTGAACGATCAATAGCAATGGAGGAGGTACTACACCGAGGCAATAGGTGACCATCGCCCACAACAGATGCGGAGTGGTTCTTACGAACTGGTAGCAAGATAAGCAACAGCATCAGGAGTTCCGACTTGCTTGAGACATTGATTTCGGGATTGGGGCTCAGCCTCAACCCAAATATGTGCGAATCCCTGGCCAAGCCAGAATGCGAAGGCAGACTTCGCCAACCAGACCAAATGGAAAGAGCCATTACAACGTAAATGCCTTGATATGTGGGCACGTTCGGCTGCCAAACATGGACAACTACATGTTTCAATCGCTGTCGGCATCTTGCGTTCATTTGTTGACAACGGATTCCCTTACATCGGCTCAGCCGGGGATGGGATACCCGCAAACCGTTCAGCACAGAATATTGAGGCGACAGATATGGCAGTAGAAAAATCATTCAATCCGAAAGCTTTTCCGAGTCCGTCAAAGGAGCCCGTTGCGGAGCCTGCTACCGATTCAGTCGTAGGTGTTTGCGCCGGTTCTGCCAGAACCCGTGGAAGATGCAACGATGAAACCAAAGACGTCGAGGGCACTGACTCAATCGCTGCTCCTGCGCCTGCTGCTTCTCATCTTCATCCCCTCCCGCGACGCCCGCGCGGGGAAACCTGATGGCTGCCGTCTCCGATTGGCGCTCTTTCCGCGATGGCGCGCGCGCAGCCCTGGCGGGATTACCTTGGGCGCCGCCGAGGCAGAGGAGCAGGAGCCGCGATGTGGAGTCGAGGCTCGCCGAGGCCCCGACTCTCCGCAAGATGGACAAAAGACGGAACGTCGGAAGTAGAGCAGTTATTCGACGCAGAACAGCTACCAGCGTGGTCTTGCTCAGGATCGTTGAAATCCTGGTCATCATTATGATGGTCCTGAGTATGGTGGGAAATGGGTATACAATGACGTCACGCGAGTGTGGGAATGGTGGTCGTCGGAGGACTGCGACACCGTGAGTGACAGAAGTATAAATTACATTTCGCGCTCTTCAGGATGAAAGAGCAAGAGACTGGTGGAGGTTCAGCCGCCAGGGCCCTCCTTGCAGAATAGGGCAAAGTACCTGTACAAGGTATGTAACATCTGATTTTGAACCTGGGCAATTGTATGTGGGATGCGTCGGCCCGCTCCGACCTTACCTGACAGAGGTCCAGTTGGATTATCGGCACCCGTGCCCTGGCGCTGTACATTTTTTCATGGTTTGGCACCAGGGGGGGGGGGGGCAAGGCGCCATGGGGGCCTAGGCTGGGATCGACGTGTGCGGCCTGCGCGCCCCGCCGCGGGGGGAGTTGTTCCTGTTCTTTCCCAGCTCGTTCCCCGTGCTCGCCGGCGCCCCGCCACCGACGCTGCCCGCAGCTGTGAAGGATTGGTTCGGGGACCGAGCCGAGGATTGCGCGCGTCCTGTGCGCGCGCGAGGGCCCATGGGAGTAAGATCGTCTCGTCGTCGTCCTCTCCACCTCGCTCCCTCGCTCCGACGTATGTGTCTATATATATATGGAATAAACTTATATCCGCGGAACGGGTTCTTGATCATTACACAGCCCATCCGGTACACCCACCACGAACGTTGGGGCCTAGAGCTCATCATTGCCATTCGATCCCTCTTCCGCCGAGAATCATGTTCTAATGGCGAATGACTTCCCAGGGTGGCAGAAACCGTGGCCAGCTAAGGCCGTGAGATCGGGGATTGTGTCTCGAACGCTTCGGCCAACATTGCCTTCTTTTCTTCCTCCAGGATTCCTCGCCTCCCCCCTTCTTCTTTACCGGCGACGTTTTTTCAGGATCTAGACGCAATTTTTTTGTAATTTCGTTGCGAGCGTGGAAGTGTCCAGAATTCCGTGCGACAGCGCAACCATTGCGGCGAAGCCAGGGCGCACCTCGCGCACCCACTGCGGTTTGGGGATCGCCTTTCTTCCACGGGCAGCGGCCCGAGAGGCCGCTGGCGAGTCGCCGACAGAGGGCTCCACGCCGCCGCACAGACGGGGGACGACGACGATGACGACGACGACGATGACGACGGAAAGGTCGTGGACGAGGACGACTACAACAATTCCAATGTCGTGGAACATGAGCACGAGAGAGTCCTCATGACTTTTCCTCAGTGCGCGACTTCCGCGGGTACTTGGACGTGAATTCGTCTCCTTTTTGACTTTCCTCCATCTCCTGTTCAGCTGCCTCTGGTTGAGCAGGCGCTTCGCCCGCGCACCGGGAGTACGATCAATTTCTAGCACGTTGTTGTTGCACGTCCACGTCAAGTCCCTCCTTCCCCGTTCGTTTCTCTGGTTGCGTTGCCTTCTATATTGTCGTCCCGCATGTTCATTGATCCTCCTGCCACTGTTGTTGTATTGCTCGTCGTCGTTGTCGCCTTCCTCCTCCCCCCCGTCACGCACCGAACGAGGCACGGACTGGCGGGCGATGGGCCGATCGGCTCGCATGTATGATTGGTTGACGATCCGGTGTCTGGTTCAGGGCAACAGGATAAACCATTCATCATCGTCTTTCAATCACCGTTACCGCTTTTGCAGACGGATGTTTTGTTGGAGGTCGGCTCTTCGGTCAACCCTTCCCCCCGCACCGTGTTCGTTCCTTGTGTGCATTTGCCTTTATCTCGTCGTCCCGTGTGCTCGTGATCTCCGTGCCGTTGCTGCGGTACTGCTCGTCGCGATTGTCGTTTTCTTTCTTTCCCCCCCGACGCACTGAACGAGGCTGCGCGGCTACATGGCGAGCGATTGACGACGCCATGTCCTTCCGTGTCGGAGGCGTCCCAGACTTTGACGCCATTTGCTTCTGTGTCGGCGGATGCGCGGTGTGTGGCGCCATCTCGACTGGACCAGGCGGTGGGTTTGCCTATTGACGTCATGACGCCCTCCGTCTCCGTCTCAGAGGCGTCGCAGTCGCGGCAGGCCCGCCCGCGCCGACCCCCCTATACCTCGGCAGCGGAGCGAGGCGACGACGACGACGACAACGACGATAAGGTGGACGACGAAAATGTCGTGGACGAGGACGACGTTGAGGATTCCGAGGCTGTGGAATATGAGCACGAGAGTTTTCAGACATGTGGTCAGTGTACGACCTCCATGGGTATTCTGACCTGATCTCGTCTCCATTTTGCCCCTCCCTCATAATTTTCCTGCTCCGCTGCCTCCAGTTGAGCAGGCGCTTCTCCCGCTCACCGGGAACATGATTGGTTCGTTGCATTTTGTTGTTGCATGTCCGTCGCATTCTTCTTTCCCCGTTCGTTTCTCTGGGTTATCTGCCTTATACCTTGTCGTCCCGCATGCTCATTGATCCTCCTGCCACTGTTGTTGTATTGCTCGTCGTCGTTGTCGCCTTCCTCCTTCCCCCCGTCACGCACCGAACGAGGCACGGATTGGCGAGAGATGGTCTTATATGCTCGCATGTATAATTGGTTGACGATCCAGCTCTTGCTTCAGGGCAGCAGTACAGAGCCTTCATCACCGTCCTTCAATTATCGTTACCGCTTTTGCAGACGGATGTTTTGTTGGAGGTCGGCTCTTCGGTCAACACCTCCCCCACGCACCGTGTTCGTTCCTTGTGTGCATTTGCCTTTTTATCTCGTCGTCCCGTGTGCTCGTGATCCCCGTGCCGTTGCTGCGGTACTGCTCGTCGTCGTTGTCGTTGTTTTCCTACCTAGGCAGTGGAAAGCGGCCCGGGCGGTTCCCCCAGTCCCCGCCCCGCGGTTCCCCCAGTCCCCTGGGAGCTTTAGCCTTAGCTTTAGCTTTAGCTTATCTTTAGCTTTAGCTTTAGCTTTAGCTTTAGCTTAGCTTTAGCTTAGCTTTAGCTTAGTGTTAGCTTAGCTTTAGCTTAGCTTTAGTTTAGCTTCAGCTTAGTGTTAGCTTGGCTTTAGCTTAGCTTTAGCTTAGGTTTAGCTCAGCTTCAGCTTTGCTGTTAGCTTAGCTTTAGCTTAGTGTTAGCTTAACTTGAGCTTAGCTTTAGCTTAGCTTTAGCTTAGCTTTAGCTTAGCTTTAGCTTAGCTTTAGCTTAGCTGTAGCTTTGCTTTATATTAGCTGTAACTTTGTTTTAGCTTAGCTTTAGCTTAGCTTTAGCTTAGCTTCAGCTTTGCTGTAGCTTAGCTTTAGCTTAACTTCAGCATAGTGTTAGCTTAGCTTCAGCTTAGTGTTAGCTTAGCTTCAGCTTAGCTTTAGCTTAGCTTTAGCTTAGCTTTAGCTTAGCTTTAGCTTAGCTTTAGCTTAGCTGTAGCTTAGCTTTAGCTTAGTTTTAGCTTAGCTTTACTGTTACTACAAATGCTGCTTTCCTAGAGGCTTCAACTCCTAGGTAGGGTCGCACTGGGATAATTTTCTTCTCCCCCAACATGCACTCCGCGAGGCTGCGCGGCTACATGGCGAGCGATTGACAACGCCATGTCCTTCCATGTCGGAGGCGTCCCAGGCTTTGACGCCATCAGTTTCCGTGTCGGACGCTTCGTTCATGATGCCCTCTTTCTCTGTCTCAGAGGTCTCGCAGTCGCGGCAGGCCCGCCCGCGCCGTCCTGCCCAGACCTTGGCGGCGGCGCGAGGCGACGACGACGACGACGACGACGACGACGACAACGACGACGGCGGCGATGACGACGGCGACAAGGACGACGACGACGACGACGACGACGACGAAGAAAAGGTCGCGGACGAGGGCGAGGACGAGGATTCCGACGACGACCTCGATGGGCGACGAGACCGACGATCGCGTCGAGGTGGACGACGACGAGGGACAACGGCGAAGTCGGGCCCCCTGCCCGAACTGCGGGCCCTGGGTTTGGGCGGGGGCTGGAGGGACTTTTGAAAGGGTACGGGGGGGCTTCTCAGAGGGGACCGCCGAAAAACAATCAGCGTCATATCATCCAGAAACGAATAAGCTGCAACCCGAATGGCACAATGGCGACGTAGCCTAATATACTCAGATCCCCGTCTTTGCAGTAGGATCAATCAGTCTGTGTGGTTTGGTTTGATAGCTTCTGCTGAAAAGACTCCATATACTTAGTGCTTTGGGCCTCTTATCTCATTTCCGTCCCCAGCTGGTTAGGGGTCCCTTAGTTCCTAAACAGCATAAGCACGAATTCCTGGAACTTAGCACAGAGTTGTTGGACTTGCGATGGAATCCCTTGGCGGCGCCTCCGGCGCCGCCCCTGGCACGCTCCGCGCGCTAGGGAGAGGGGGGTGCAGCGCAGTTCCAAGAGATCCGCGCGGACCTCCCAAGGTCAGTGCTGTCGGTTGTTCTTCTAGGTCGGAGGTTTCTGAGACGGCCTCTTAGGAGACCACCGGCCCCTGCCCACCCTCTCGTGCGCGTCGTCAACAGACCCCCTCACCGTCTTCTCCCCGCATCCCCTTCCTGACGCTCCTGGGCCTGGCGGTCCCTGCCGCCCCGCGCTAAAGATCCGCGGGCCCTCCTGAGATTCAGGCGGGTGGCCATGCCAGGGTCGGAGCGAGGGGGGAAGGGGAGAGGAGGCGGGTTGGGGAGGGATGGAGAGAGGGAGCGTGGGAGGGTGCGGAAGTGACGGGACGGGTCGAGGCGACAAGTGGGGAATAGTCGCCGACAGCGTTGCTTCTCCTTTCCCCCCTCGCTCCCTCCTTCGTTCCCTCCCTCCCCTCGCCTCCCATCTGCCCTCCCATTCACGCGGGCTTGGCAAGAGAAGGGTTGGAGGGCCGCGGCGCTGCACGCGTAGGGGGTTGCCGCCGTTTTTGACATGAACCCTTCCCTGCTGCTTCGGGAAGCCCTGCCCTCACTCTCTCCCCGCTCCTCCCCTCCTCCCCCCCCTTCCGCGCGGACCGGGCAAAGACATGACGAACATGGAGAAACAATTATTCTCGACGCGTATTTCATGGCGTCGTGGGACATCGGGCACACATCGGGTAGATGGGCTCCGCACGGCCGCGAAACGCACCAAGAAGGGCAACCCACGAACTCACAAACCGAAAACCGGACGAGCGGACTGTAAACCAGTCCGTGTGCGTGAGCGGTGGCCAAACATTCTGAAATTCATCTACAGGGAAACGTGGTCAAAAACTTGGTTGGTCAAGCGAAAAGCATGAACAAGTACCATGTGCAATGGTTGTGTTGAAAGTCTGGACCGGTTCAAGTATATCACCCCTTCAACATCGGTTTCTATGCTGTCAGTGCCCACCCGAGCCCCCTTGCGTCTCGATCCTCACTCCGCCCTCATGCGCTGCGCCCACGCGCAAATCAATCCCGACTTCGAGCCATCGTTGGACACCCTCGTCCGTGGGTCCTCTCCAGGCAAATGCTGCCGCTTCAGCGTCCGCCGTGTCGAAGCCTGACCACGTGCAGGTTAACGCTCGTCCAGCACTGCCTCAGGGCCTGCGGGGGGGGGAAAGTTCTTCAACCTTCGGGGCAGAGGTCATTACTGCCCAAGTACGGCCGCGATGATTGGAGGCTTAACCTGCCTGGCCCGTTCGGAACAAGTGTTCGCCACCAGTTGTCAAGCATGGCAGCTACATCGTCACACCACCGCACGGTCGCCATCTCTGCAGATGACATCACCAGCCCCCGATGCGTTCCAGTCGGAAACCATCGACAGATGTTCCGAAGGACACCTTCTATGGCCCAATCGTGAAGCAACAACATACACATTGGTTTGGTAACGGTATGCGTACCAGATCGCGACACCAAGGTCGAGCGTTGGATGAACATTTGGAATGCCAAGTCCGCGATTCCGGCGTTGAGTTCGGAACCATCTATCAGGGCGGATCGGCATCGGCATGGGCCATGCCGAGTATCACCGACGTTGTGACCAACGTTGCCGCACTCTATTTAGCAACCGGAGGATTTTCATGACGCCATCATGCCCCATCCTGACTGCCTTCGATGACAAGCCCAGCCTCCTAGTGTCAGGACGAGGACGAGAGACTCCGCACTTGAGGGCGGCACACCGGTGCCCGCGGCAGACAAGAGTTCGAGCCCTGTCGAGGTGATCCGCGCATATTTGTCTCAGGCAGCTGCCGCTGCCGCCGCGGATGCATCGGCACCGGGCCGGGCGGAAGTGCCAGTCCCGACTGCTCTAACCTCTCTTGTCGTGAGACTTGTCCCCGGGGATGACGTTGATCTACCTCCACAGGACGGGATCATTCATAGACCCACCCGAAGCGGACGCACCTACGACTGACACGCGAGATGTTCAACGATGCCGCGTGGCAGCTTCGAGATAATGATGCTTTGGAAGAGATGAAAGGCCGCGTGGTTGGCGACGCCAGTGAAATCTGCAGAGCTCAGTCTAGCAATGACAAGCCGATCCAGGCCTTGTCAGGGTGGCTGATGGTTCGCGTGCAACTGATCCTGGTATGGAGGGCCCCGTAGAGTCCACAGGCTTGCGATTTGGCGAGTAATTGGGACATGGAGAAACCAGAAACTTGCAGATGTTACATTCACCCATCGCAGTGCCTCGATGGGGTCCAGAACCAGTCGTTGGGTAACCGCCACCTCCGGGCAATGCTAGGGCCCCCCCCCTTGCGCATTGAGAGTTGCTCATCCCGGGCCAATGCAGGTTTGGTTAGGGAAACGAGGCGGCAAGGGCGAACTTTGTTCTTCGCGGGAAAAATTGCGAATCGAAGTTGCTCTATTATTATGTTGAGTAGCGCGGGTTCCTAAGGATCATGATTGATTGGTTTTATTTTGACCATCATCATCTTCATCCTGTTCAGCATTATGCTGAGACCTCTCCGGGCAATCGTGTATTATCCCGCCAGTGCCAGTGAATTTTATTATCTCCAGGGGGGTCTTCTCGTTATCTCTGCATGGTTGGCCCCCATGTCGGCCGTGGCCCAGGACGTCGCCAACATTGATTTTTGGCGCCGACGTGGCGCTGCTGAGTCAGCATGTATGATTCCAGCGCATGAGCAACGCGCTCCGTCCTTCCACGGAACAATGCTATAGCGCCCCCACCATTCTTGAGCCCCCCGTTCCGGATTCGCCGCGTATGGAGGGAATTTCTGGAACGGATGATGTTTTCTCGGCAGGCACCTAAGATGAGTTCACAACCCCGCAGGGCGACCATCTTTCCACCCCCCGCGCAACGAGCTTGGTTTTCCCAGCCAACCTGTGTTGTTGGGTCTTCGTTTTGAAGAGACGGTCCCCGCGTTCCTTCCTCCTTCCTCCTTCCTCCTCCTTCCTCCTCCTCCTCCCCTTCCTCCCCCCATCCACCCCCTCCCACACCCATTCTGGCACACCCCTATCACGTTTCGTGGCCCCATAGGGAGCTCCACCGAAGGCCCCAGTGGCTGCGCCCGCATGCGGTTCCACCCCCCATTCTGGCACACCCCTGACACGCTTCGTGGCCTCATAGGGAACTCCACCGAAGGCCCCAGTGGCTGCGCCCGCATGCGGTTCCACCCCCATTCTGGCACACCCCTCACACGTTTCGTGGCCCCATAGGGAGCTCCACCGAAGGCCCCAGTGGCTGCGCCCGCATGCGGTTCCACCCCCCATTCTGGCACACCCCTCACACCGTGGCCTCATAGGGAGCTCCACCGAAGGCCCCAGTGGCTGCGCCCGCAGCGGTTCCACGCATTCTGGCACACCCCTTTTCGTGGCCCCATGGGAGCTCCACCGAAGGCCCCAGTGGCTGCGCCCGCATGCGGTTCCACCCCCCATTCTGGCACACCCCTCACACGTTTCGTGGCCCCATAGGGAGCTCCACCGAAGGCCCCAGTGGCTGCGCCCGCATGCGGTTCCACCCCCCATTCTGGCACACCCCTCACACGTTTCGTGGCCCCATAGGGAGCTCCACCGAAGGCCCCAGTGGCTGCGCCCGCATGCGGTTCCACCCCCCATTCTGGCACACCCCTCACACGTTTCGTGGCCCCATAGGGAGCTCCACCGAAGGCCCCAGTGGCTGCGCCCGCATGCGGTTCCACCCCCCATTCTGGCACACCCCTCACACGTTTCGTGGCCCCATAGGGAGCTCCACCGAAGCCCCAGTGGCTGCGCCCGCATGCGGTGGCACACCCCTCACACGTTTCGTGGCCCCATAGGGAGCTCCACCGAAGGCCCCAGTGGCTGCGCCCGCATGCGGTTCCACCCCCCATTCTGGCACACCCCTCACACGTTTCGTGGCCCCATAGGGAGCTCCACCGAAGGCCCCAGTGGCTGCGCCCGCATGCGGTTCCACCCCCCATTCTGGCACACCCCTCACACGTTTCGTGGCCCCATAGGGAGCTCCACCGAAGGCCCCAGTGGCTGCGCCCGCATGCGGTTCCACCCCCCATTCTGGCACACCCCTCACACGTTTCGTGGCCCCATAGGGAGCTCCACCGAAGGCCCCAGTGGCTGCGCCCGCATGCGGTTCCACCCCCCATTCTGGCACACCCCTCACACGTTTCGTGGCCCCATAGGGAGCTCCACCGAAGGCCCCAGTGGCTGCGCCCGCATGCGGTTCCACCCCCCATTCTGGCACACCCCTCACACGTTTCGTGGCCCCATAGGGAGCTCCACCGAAGGCCCCAGTGGCTGCGCCCGCATGCGGT